TTACATGGTAAAAGGGAAAAGATTTGAACATAAAAGGCGCCATAATCAGCTGAAAAATATTTATTGATAAAAGACCTGAAACATTGGAAGAACCGATAAAAATGCTATATGATGTTTTCGATGTGCCAGCACCACAACAAGTCGTGAAACCTAGGAAGACAAGTTCCACAAAAAGAATGCGTACTGAAGAACTGGAAGTGGATCTGAGACGGAAACACTAAAAAATGAAGTGCATTGGCGAACTCTCCAGAAAGAGGCAGAGGAGCAGACAGAAAACAAAATATTTATAAAAAGTATTAATCTCAAAAGTGTGTGTGTATGGGGGGGTAAACATAAAACCCCCGGTGATTATTTAAACTAGTCCATAACTATAAATAAAGAGCTCCAGATCAGAGGTAAGAAAAAGTAGCCGTTTGGAGTCAGTCTTCAGAGTAATTTATATCTGCGTCACGGCAAGTTGCCGAAGCATTATATTATAAGCGCTACGAAGTGGGTTGAGTCTACCCGCAAATATTGGAGGGAGATGTCTTACCCTGGTTGTCAGCCACATTTGGAAGACGCTATGTCCTTACTCAATAAGTAGCTCGCGCACACAAGGCTAATTTGACGCAGAACTACTGCAAGAGACACTTCCATGATTTTTTGGACAAGTCAATTTGGCTACCATAAACCCGTGACATTAATCCAACGGACTTTGTAATATGGTCATTATAGTGGAGAGTAATGTTTTATTTATCTTATACACAAATGTGTCAAACCTGAAAAAGCCTCTTATGGCATCTTGATACAAATTGAGCGAATGAAGATTTGCACATCAGTTGAGAAGAGATTAAGGACTTTGGTGAAAGCAAAATGTGGCCATTTTGAATTGCAAATATATCTAAAATAATTTAAATAAATATAACAATTAACCTGTGAATTTACATTGACCAGAACCTAAAATAAAGTACTGCTGAGGACCACAAATCAGGCTCGCCCTGGTTTGGGGATGGGGAGTAGAGTTAGGGTTAATTAACAATTAACAATTCTGAGCCATTATCCCTTACAGCATCTGCATATCTAAGTTTACAGCATCTGGTATTCTCAAGTGAAAGAAGTTATACTAATTAACCCATAGCTAGGGGGAGTAGAGGAAAATTCATACCTTTCCTAAGCAAATATAACTAATCCAACTGAGAATTGGAACTTGGCTCTCCAATTAACAATTCTGAGCCATTATCCCTTACAGCATCTGCATATCTAAGCTTACAGCATCTGGTATTCTCAAGTGAAAGAAGTTATACTAATTAACCCTCTAGCTAGGGGAGGTCATACCTTTCCTAAGGTTAACTTGGATCTCCAATTAACAATTCTGGAGCCATTATCTATTCATCAGCATATCTAAGCTCAAAAGAACCCAACCCATAGCTAGGGGGAATAGAGGAAAATTCATACCTTTCTAAGCAAATATAACTAATCCAACTGAGGTCTCAATTAACAATTCTGAGCCATTATCCCTTACAGCATCTGCATATCTAAACATTAGCATCTCTACACCTTCTCAAGTGAAAAAGATACTAATTAACCCATAGCTAGGGGAGTAGAGGAAAATTCATACCCAAGCAAATATAACTAATCCAACTGAGAATTGGAACTTGGCTCTTCTTTTAACAATTCTGAGCCATTATCCCTTACAGCATCTGCATCTAAACTCTTTCATCTGGTATTCTCAAGTGAAAGAAGTTATACTAATTAACCTGTAGCTAGGGGAGGAGGAAAATTCATACCTTTCTAAACAAATATAACTAATCCAACTCATGGAACTTGGCTCTCAATTAACAATTCTGAGCCATTATCACTCAGCATCTGCATATCTAAACACAACATCTGGTATTCTCCAAAGAAGTTATACTAATTAACCCATAGGTAGGAAAAATATTCATACATTTCCTGAGCAAATATAACTAATCCAACTGAGCATCTCTAATTAGTTCAGCCATTATTATCTTAAGTATCTTCATATCTAAGCTTACAGCATCTGGTATTCTCAAGTGAAAAAAATTATACTCATTAACCCACGGAGAGGTATATTCATACAAGAAAAATATAATCACAATTCAACTGAAATTGAACTTGGCTCCAAAAACAATATTATCCCTTTCAACATCAGCATAAACTAAAATAATGTATTCTCAAGAAAGAAGTTATACTAATTAACCCAAGGTAGGGAGAGAAGAGGTATATTCACATTTCCAAGCAAATAACTAATGCAACTGAGAAAGGAACTTGGCTCTCCAATTAACAATTCTGACCATTATCCCTTACAGCATCTGCATATCTAAGTTTACAGCTTCTGGTATTCTCAAGTGACAAAGTTTACTAATTAACCCACAGGTAGGGAGATAAGAGTATTTCATACATTTCCTAAAGCAAATATAACTAATGCAACTGAGATCTGGAACTTGCTCTCCAATTAATTCTGAGCCATTATCCTTACAGCATCTGCATATCTAAATACAGCATCTGATTCTCAAGTGATCACCCATCTGGGCTTGATGTTCGTTAAGTTCAGTGATCATATGAGAACAGATGTTTCAATTATGGCTGTAAGCCAAGTAAAGTAAATAGTAGAGTTTACCAGCAATTGTTGGAGTGAGATGTGTTCTCCTGGTTGACATTTGAAACTGCTATGTATTCATCAAGATGAAGCTTCTGCACACATGGCCACAAAAAAGACATTTGCATGAATTCAATGAAGTCATTTTGGCCTTCATCAAGCAATATGACCCATAATGAAGAGCCATGATTCATGTGCGTGAGACCTGAAAGAAGCTCTTCTGACATCGTAGTACAAGCGAAGAGCTGTTGGTGAAGAAATCATGCACTTCAGTTAAGAAGGGATTAAGAGTTATGATGAAAGCAAAGAGTGGCCATCTTGAATTGCAAATATATGTAAAATATTGTCAATAAATATAACAATTAACTTGCATTAACCAAAACCTAAAACATTTGATTTTATTATTTCCCAGTCATTTTACATTATGTTGGTCTTCTTCAGTATATTCTTGATGCAATCATGTTGTTTCAATTTCGGATTAACATGCCATCTTCCTATCACATCTCAAATTACTCCAGATGCCTTTCAAAACTTTGTTTCATACACAAGGCCGTTTGAAGTTTAGAAGTAAATTTTTCAAATCTCTAATCAATAAAGGGAAAATAAAGAAAAAAAAATGATTGACTTACATTCCTGTGTTCCATATTTAAGCAGTCCAGCAAGTTTAATATCTTCTTGTTCTTTAACTAAAGAAATATTAATACATCAAGATCTGCTTCAGCAATGGCTTTCTACGATTTTTTTCTCATTCTGCGTTGGAGAGCGGTGTTTCACATATGTCGTTTTCAGGTATGGGAGACCTGAAAAGAAGCTCTGCTGACAATGTAGTACGATCTAAGCGAAGAGGTGGTGAAAAAAAAAAACCATGCACATCAGTTGAGGAGAGAAATTAAGGGCTTTGGTTAAAGCAAAGAGCGGCCATTTTGAATTGCAAATATATGTAAAATATTGTTAATAAATATAACAATTACCCTGTGAATTTTCATTAACCAAAAAGTACTTCTCGAGACCCCAAATCAGGATCTCCCTTGGTCCGGGGGGTGTGGGATATGGGGGAGTGCGCAACTGCAGAAGGAGATTCCCAGCAGGTCAGAAAGCAAGAAGCAGCCAGGCATTTATTGTAAGAGTTTCGGCTTTGAAAAGTAGTCCCAGTGAGCCGAGTTCAAATTCAGGATTCCGTCTTTGCCTCCCCCTGACACACGTAATAGCTATGCGTTAAATAGATGAGTACTCTGATCTTTCTAGCCTTTGATGGCGACCAATCTCAGAGAACAAAGAAAATTCAAAACTAGCCTGACTGGGGAGGTGGACGCCATCTGGCTATCTTGACCTGGACACACCCAACTGTTGCTACGGCTGCAGTACATGCTGCGTGTCTACAAGCCTTACGGGACATCTGATGTCGTGATGTAAAGAAATGCCTTTTTTTTTGTAAATAACTAAAATCTCTGATCCTCGAGGTTATTCGATATCCTTTATCTACAAGTCTTATTTGCCATTACCAAATTTTAAATGTCGAGGGATTTTTATTATCTGTCAATGCTATAAACCAAAATTATACTCGCTGATCTTATCTGTTTGGTTTTACCCGGGAGCACTGCCCCACCCTCTAAGCATTCCTGGAATCCATTACTTATTAGAAACGCAGGTCTGCAACTTGGTGAGTCAGTCTGTCGAGACGAATTACCTACCCACCCTCAGCCATGGTGGGTTTGATACAGGGTCGCAATTAATGTGCAGCCGCAGACGCGTGGAAAAGCGGGTTGAAATGAGGGTGGAAATAGAAATTGTCCAGTATTCACCACACTTCACTTCCCTTTTTAGGGGTTTCTCAAACATCAGAGCGTGAACTTGACCTGCTGAACTTTAAGTGCAATGGGATAATTTTAAACCAAGGGTGTCCCTGTGTAACTGGACATGGGCTAATTTCCGTATCGGAGCCCAAAAGGCCGAGATGTGATGAGTCAGTGTACGGGGCGGCGTCGTGCCGTGTGGACCGAGTATAAAAAAATCTATCTTTTTTTTTTTGCGGGGGGGGGGTTACACGACGATTGTATTTTCCACGAGTTTTCTCTTCGAAAGTCAAAAAAAAAAAAAAAAGACGTCATAGCACGTGACGTACCAACAGCTAACATTTCTACTAATTCTATGCGTCTTGCCTCCACAGAATGTTGGCGATCATGGCTTTCCACAGCTTCCTTCGCTAAGACTCCTAACCAACGTTTCGCCATCCATTCACGCAAGCTCGTTCGATAGGTGGCCCGCTATCTTCCCCGGTCTATTTTTGTTCCCGATATGCCATGTGAGGCTTCAATTTTCCAAGCCCTCCTTCCTCGTGATGGGCCCAAGCTGATGCATAAAGGTGGAAGCTTTAAAGAAAATATTGGAATTACGACAGCATCACGTTCAAACACCGGTTTCCGTACGATCATCGAAGTTAAGCAACAGCGAACCTGGTCAGTAGATAGACGGGTGACCACCAGGGAATACCAGGTGCTGTAAGCTTGGATGTACGGTTGGTGTAACGAATAATGATTCGGTAATTGTTATTCAGAGAACTGAGTTCTAAATCCTGTCGGGTTAGTTATATTCACTTAGCGTATTTGACGGTATATAAGACGCATGGGTGTATAAGACGCACCAATTTCAGCAAGAAAAATCTAATAATTAGTAAAATTATTAGTAAATAGTACAGCCTAGGCTATATTTATGAGGTATTATTTTGGTTAAACAGGCCATGATTACTGTTAAACGAAAATAATAATCAAAAAAAGGACACGAGCCTATAAAAACTATTATATCCAAAGGTAAGAAAATAAAATAAAAATCAAGCAATTATTACAATTGAGCAAAACAGTACAGTCACCATTAAAATTCAGTCAAAAAATTTTCTTTATATTATCTGTATAACCTGCGTCTTGTAAACATCTTTACTAATTAGGATATAAAAATTCTGATGCAGCCGGAAGTTATAGCAAGAAAAATATAAATCAAACAAATATATTTTACAAATATATAACTTGAATTTATTGGATATAATTTTAGTTAAACAAAGTACTAATATTAAAAGTGATTATAATGAAAACAGGACAAGAGATTCTGTCTAGTAATCGTTTATTCAATTAAGAATACTACTAGTAGTCTACCTGACAAACGGAAATGTATAGCTTTTAGTTTTATAGTTGGATTATCAAGGGGGAGATAATCCATATTCACAACAGTGATAAAATTAATATAATGAATATTATCAATGATAACACTTTTAATCTGTATAATAGCCTTTTAAATAATGACAATATGAATATAAAAGGTACTCTAAAGTCTAAGCTAACAGGAGTTGCCAGGTAGTTTATTTCGGCTGACTATCGCGAATTTTAAAACTATATAAGGCATATAAGACGAGAGGAATTTTAAAAGATATTTTTAATTAAAAAAAAGTGCGCCTTATATCCCAACAAATATGGTACATGCAAACACCCTTTGAAAAGTTATCAATCCACCTCTTCTTCCTCAAGCTATAGGTTAATTAGTAAGACTTCTATTACAATATAAAATAATTTGTCTTTAAGTAAGCTGCAAAGGGTTGATAAGCCGTAGAAAAGGAATCAATCAATCAATTTAAATAAAATAAAATCTCACCATGGCTTGACAACATGGGCAATAATATGTGAAGAGATTCCTACGTTTGTTGCAACTCAGTTCGAAACCCGCAGAGTAGAAGCATATTTTTCCATGGCAGCTGCAGGAGAAGGTTTGTCAGTCAGAAGAAGCTACGGTTTTACGGTCTTGCCGCTTTTCTCCTGATTGGAAACGTGAAATTCATTCTGGGGTGAACGATGAGATTCTTTTCAAAAGAAAAGATTTCTTCTTTTTTTTTTTTTTAAAAAAAAAAGTTATTAAAATTTACTGCGTATATTGTGTTGGAGTATTTTAGAGGAAACTTTGCCGGAATAAAATAGAGATACACCTATGTGCTTCGCTAATATTCCTTCTTATGTCGCTGAGCCTGTAACGCGTGGAAACAAGCCATTGTCGACCCCAAATTAAATGAAATAAAACGCTTTATACTCCAAATCTTATAGCATAGGGACTGAAACTTTAAAGAAAAATCCTTAAATGCGATCAGTCCTCGCCAGCAATTACATGCAAAGACCTCCGAAATCTACAGTATTTACATTAGTCGGACTATTGTCCTCATCTTTGTCGCCATATTTGTCCAGAAAGATGTACGCGAGGGGAAGTAGAAAAATCAGGCGTGGCTGACCACGTATGGAGAGAGAAGGGAGATCACCGCCCCCTGTGGGATCATGTTGAAATCATAGACAGGGAACACCATTGGAAAATTCGTAAACTTAAGGAATCAGCACATATGCTAGGCCACAAAAATCTCCTGAGTCGACCAAGCATAGAAATAAATACAATATGGGAACCAGTAATAAGGAGTGCCAGAGAAAACCAATGATAACAAAGTTGCAATATGAACTCTGGTAAAGACATGCAATGATAACAGCAAAAATTGCAATATGTGCACTGGTAAAAATGATGCTGAAAACATTAGGTTTATAATACTCAGAAGTTCATACCCAGATGTTCTCAAGGACACATGGCACAGTGGATAAAGGCGTTGGTTAGATCCAGTGACAGACCCAAAGAAGGTGAGTTCAATTCACTGGTTAAGGCAGTGGAGAACTTTCAGAGGGAAAATTAGCAGGAGATAACTGATAACTGACATCCATTAAACATGGCACGTGGAACTAGAACAGTCTACCCCAGTGATCGAAATAAAGGGTTCAGTTCGAAATTCCAACCACCTGAAGAAGGCCGTAGCGTACAACGGCCGAAACGTTGTGACAAATATGGCGACAAAGATGAGGACAATAGTCCGACTAATGTAAATACTGTACATAATACCTCATCTCAGAAATATAGACAGACTCTAAAATCTACTTGATCAGATATGTAGAAGAAGGAAACTCGAATAAAAAAACTACGGTTTAATGGCCATGCTACCATGACTACGTTTGAAGACTACAGCAACTTAGTTCTTAGAACCGAACAGCCAGACTACGCGGACGCATTATTTGATTTTGGCGGTGAAGGCTTATGCAGAACCAACCACACTTTTTCGAAAAACTGAATACACAGAACATTTTTTGCCGCAAGTTTATCTCCTCAGGATGTGACTTCAGAATTGTCCTTCTATTAGGCTGGCTGCCACTCAAGGCTATAGGAACCAGTCTACCCCGCTATTTACCCATATGGAAAAGGTGATGCAAAAATCCGAACACGCAGGAATCGAGAAAGTTGCCTTTCAGAAACTAAGCAAAGTATTAAGAAACAGGAAAATTTCGTTAGAAACAAAGAAAGAATGCGACAATACTATCACATCCTCCTATATGGCAATAAATGCTGGACAATTTCATCACAGAGACAAGATTTGAGGCAACAGAGACGTGGCGTTACAGGAGGATGCTGAGGATGTTAACACGTGAGCAACGAGGAAGCCTTAAGCAAAATAAAAACAAAAATTATACTTGTACTTAGAATCAGAAACATGCACACAAAACATATACACACACAAAAATTCAACTGATATACTAAACTAAATAGTCTTAACAATAGCAATAAACCAATGTTAAGGAGCATACTAAATAGAAAGCAACGAGAAAAGTTTCTATGACGCAGCATGAGGAAAAATGGCTTGGAGAATAAAACACTCAAAGGATATACTGAAGAGAAGAAGGGAGCTAGAAAGCTTTAAAATGGACTCTTGTAAATGAATGTCAAATCAGGGAGGGGGAGGGATAGTAAAAAGACAAACATTGCATTACTTTACAAACGATAGGAAGTTATGGAGAGCCATAATCTTCAAAAGAAACCACACAGCACATGAAAGAGGAAAAAAATGTCTACATACATCCAGTAATACACACCGTAATTCCCCAGGTACAATACACAGTTTTTCTAAAAATAACAAGCAAAATTAGGGGTGCGAATTATGCACAAAAAATCTTTAAAAAATTGCCGTTTCATAGTCGATTTCAGTTGCGAAATGATTACTCACCACAAACATGCGACAATTTGACACTAACATTCGGCGATTGCGACCCCATAAGGATGTCAAATATGTTCACATATACCTAACAATACTTACAAATGTAAAATGAAATAAAAATTATCATAAAACTAAATTAGAATAATATTATGCTATGTTTAAAACCATTTTTTTAGATAAGAGTAGGAAACGCTGGCTGTAATGAAATTGGTGAGGTACAATTTATAAACAAGGGGTGCGTTTTATGCGTAAGTAGAAGCATTTTCCCACACTTTCAGCACAATTTTAGGTGTGCGTATTATTGATGAAGGCGTATTATACATGGGGAATTACGGTAATTGTTATATCCTGTCACGCATAATATAAAGATACATTCACACACAAAGAGAAAAAAGGGAACGTCTAAAAATATCAAAAATATTAAAAAAGATAAAAAAAAGAAATAAAAAAGAAAATAATTTTTTAAAGATCTCATAAACAAAAGAATCTTGATTTAAAACTATAGTACAAAGTTAGACACAAATGAAAGATCAAAGCAAAAGGGCGGGACGTATGAGAAACAATAAATATTCAAAGATCTGACTAAAAAGGCGATAATAAAAATGGCGGACGATAATGAGACGGCTGAGAAGCGAAACTCGCAAAGCAATAGAAAAACAAAAGATAAAACTAAAACTAAAAGAAAATGAAAGAAATTGAAAAAAAAAAGGATTTTTTTAATTCAGTTTTGTATCTAAAGTAAGAATAAAGTGAATCTGAACAAAAGAAGGCAAACACAAAATCGGAACAGAAAGAACGAAGCTATAATGAAAATAAACCGGAACGAAACTTAAGAAAACGGAAAGAAACCAAGAAGAAAAGAAAAGAATAACAATTGTAAAAAAACAAGGAAAACAACGAAAAGAAAGAAAGAAAAAAGAAAAGAAAAAATAAATTTAAGAAAGAAAGAAAAGAAAAACAAAAGAAAGAAAGAAAAAGAAAGAAAAGAAAAGAAAGAAAAGAAAGAAGAAAAGAAAAGAAAGGGCAAATAAACAATGAAAGGACGAAAGGAAAAGAAAGAAAAGAAAGAATGAATGAAATAAAGAAATGAAGAAAAGAAAAACAAAAGAAAGGGAAAATAAAAAAAATAAATTAAGAAATAAAATAAAAGATAGAAGGAAAGAAAAGAAAAGAAAGAATAATTAAATAAAGAAAATAAAAGAAAATAAAAAGAAAGAAAAAGAAAGAAATTAAAACAAGCGAATGAAAAAAATAAAGAACTAAAGAAAAAGGAAGATGAAACAAAGAAAGAAAATAAAAGAAGAAAAATAAAGAAAAAGAAATCAAATAAACAATGAAAGAAAGAAAGGAAAGAAAAGAAAAGAAAGAATAATTAAATAGAGAAAATAGAATAAAGAAAATAAAAGAAAGAAAGAAGAAAAGAAAAAGAAAGAAGAACAAACGATTGAAAGAAATAAAGAACGAAAGAAAAAAAGAAAGATGAAATAAAGAAAGAAAATAAAAGAAGAAAAGAAAAGAAAGATAAATAAACAATGAAAGTAAGAAAGAAAGAAAGAAAGAAAGAAAAGAAAAGAAAGAATAATTAGAGAAAATAAAAGAAAGAAAATAAAAGAAAGAAAGAAGAAAAGAAAAAGAAAGAAAAACAAACGAAAAAAAGAAAAAAGAAAGATAAAATAAAGAAAATAAAAGAAGAATAAATCAAAGAAAGAAAGAAAGAAAGAAAGAAAGAAAGAAAAGAAAAGAAAAAAAGAAAAGAAAGACGCTAAACTGCCAACAAATTATCATGGGTATAAAGTCAGGGGTGTACTTTGTATCCGCTGCTAAAGAGCTTTTAAAAAGAATGTTACTAGAAGATTAAAGCAATAATCAGACTGGATTAGTGAGAGAGAAGTGATTGTGAAAGGGAAGAGAAAAGGTTATCGAGAGAGCCGTACGGATTCGGGGCACAGTGGTGGCAGGGAGAAACGTTAGGTGTTCGGGTTTTGTCTGATGACACCCAGATAATGGTTGACACCATCTGCTTACTTCGAAGTAGACAGAACATAAAGAAGGGAGGTCATTTTTATCTTTCTTTTTTATTTACAGATTTAATTGTAACATCCATTTTTTTTTCGTTTCTTTTTTAGCAACGCGTTGGGTATTACTTGGCGTGAACAATTACTTCATGTTCTCCTGTGGTGTATACATCGATGTTCCAATATTGACGCATTCATATGTTAATGTATCAGGTGTCGCTTCATGCATATATACATACATACGTTCATACATTATTTTCTTTTATGTACTGTGTCCCTGGAGAAGGCTATCGATAATGGTTCTCCGTAACTTCCTTGCGGTACTAAGCTATATTCGACAATTTACCAGCACGTTTTGTCATCGTTCTCGTATCCATTTATGCAAAAGCATTGCACATCTTCCCTTTCAAACTCACTTTTGTTCAACATGTTCTGCAAATGCTACATAGATAATACACACAGGCATTTTTTTTCATGTGCCACATGCCTTCAGGACAAGAGTGGTCGTAGCTCACGACAACTTCCTGTCAATTGCAGTTCTAACGAACTTTTAACCCCGATCTTTTAAACAAGAGTAGAGGTTTATTCGTTATTTCCAGCTTAAGATTCAACTTCCGGTTCCATCTCAAATCTACTTCAACTCTGTACTTCTAACGTCTCCGCCTAAAACCCTGAACTTTTATTTATTATTTATTTAATTCTTTATCCTCAACAAGAGTAGATAGGTTTTCTCTATCGTTCGGTTCAGACTCCTCCCCGATCTTTTGAGCGGGAGTAGTGGCTTATCTCTAGTTTCCTGTTTAGGATTCGGTTTCTGGAGTCTTCTAAAGTTTTTTCCTTCTCTTCCAGTTCCGTGGACATTGCGTTTTGGTGGCATTATCACCTTGCTTGGTGTCCTTTGCACTAAAATCATTGTGTATATATATAAATATATATATATATATATATATATATATATATATATATATATATATATATATATACAAAGAATAATCACACATAGAATTAATCAAGAAGTATTAATGCGATTATTGGCGACATCCATCGCTAGAAAACATAATATATGCATTAAAATTCTGTTCATCCATAGTGCGAGTTTTGATCCTTGAAGAAAAAACTTGTTGTCTGTAGTTTTCAGTTTATTTGATGTTAAAATGCTAGTACTTACGGATAGTCTTCCATCCATCATCAGGCATGTGTTTTTTTCCTTATAAAATCAAAAACTTGAGACGATATATCTGTATGTCGACCGAAAGATGTTTTTGAATATCTGCTATTATTGACGGTTGTGTTTCTTGGAACGTGCAAAGACGCAACGCTAAGTTTTTCAAAAAATTTTAAGTGAGAATTTTATTTAAATATTTCTTGTGATGTGTTAAATCCACGTATTCTATTTTTACAAGTGTATTCAGTTTTATGTCATGAACTAAGTATATAGTTCAATAATATAGTGTAATATCTTAGTAGTAGTTTTTTTATAGGAATTTTTTATGTACTGCGGATCGATAGTTTTTAATAAACATAAAACATTAGGCAGCATATGATTTACATACAAAGAATAATCACACATAGAATTAATCAGAATACACTTGTAAAAATAGAATACGTGGATTTAACACATCACAAGAAATATTTAAATAAAATTCTCACTTAAAAATTTGGAAAACTTAGCGTTGCGTCTTTGCACGTTCCGAGATCTTACACAACCGTCAATAATAGCAGATATTCAAAAAACATCTTTCGGTCGACATACAGATATATCATCTCAAGTTTTTGATTTTATAAGGAAAAAAAAACACATGCCTGATGATGGATGGAAGACTATCCGTAAGTACTAGCATTTTAACACAAATAAACTGAAAAACTACAGACAACAAGTTTTTCTTCAAGGATCAAAACTCGCACTATGGATGAACAGGATTTTAATGCATATATTATGTTTTCTAGCGATGGATGTCGCCAATAATCGCATTAATACTTGATTAATTCTATGTGTGATTATTCTTTGTATGTAAATCATATGCTGCCTAATGTTTTATATATATATATATATATATATATATATATATATATATATATATATATATATATATATATATATATATATAGTTAAGAAAGAAGTTTTTCCTTTCATTTCGTTATTGGAATTGTTACCTGATGATCCGGAGTCCTTTAAAAAGGATTTTGGTGAAATTAAGTATTGTAATGGTACCTTAAAGTGGTCTGTTTTTTTATATATATATATATATATATATATATATATATATATATATATATATTAAATTACTAGTAATACTCAGTTAGAGAAAAAACTCGGATAGCGCATCTTGTAAGTCCATCAAAACAAATTGTTACCCGAGGGAAAAAAATTGGAAATAAGATGAAAGAACTAGAAACATCCGAACAAGGTGAAATAAATCGTCCAGTGCGTTAAGTTTTTAGTCCAGAGGAATATATATATATATATATATATATATATATATATATATATATATAAAAATAAAAACAAGCTCAAACACTAATATTCCATGATTATAATTCATTACATTGGAATCGTAATCACGATCCAATTCATCAGACCTACAAATTCAAAAAGAAATCGGTAAATATAACTTTGGGTATGAAAAACGAAATTTTAGTGAGGGTGTATGTGTGGGGGTCGGAAACAAGTATGAGGGGGAAATGTATAAAAGCTCTATCAACTGTTTTGGCTCTGCTTTCAAAAGGGCTGATTAACGTCCATCCCTATTGCCCTTAGTAAACACTTCAAAATCCTCGGCGAATGGGTCAGTCATAGCAATAAAAGTAATAAAAAATAAAAGTATAGAAGATAAAGAAATTGGACATACACTAGGATGCACTTGGGACAGTTTTACCCAACAACTCAAGTTGCGACAAAACCAAAACATTTACCTTAAAAATTCGAGTCAAGTTCTGAAACAGCTTCGTCAAATCGAGACTTTCATATGGGTGGTGATTTTCTAAGCACATCATTATATATGACACAAGTCCAAATGTATGGGACACCCAGTAAGGATCGAACTCACTACTAATCTTTCTATCGAGACAAGTTTGCTAATTATTGCGCTACATCGAGGTGCCCAACTTTCATATGGATGCCATTGAAACCCGCTCAGAAATATCTAAACTGTCAGATACAAACAACCGCTTCCTATCATCAATGATTAAAAATGGCTCAACAAGTAAAACAAGTGAAGCCTGTAGATTTTGGCCAATAGCAGCTTTTTAAGAACATTGTGGCTTGGCACTATATAATCACAAAGAACTGTAGCAGATGCCAGAAACCAAATCACTAGTGGGTTTCAAAAGCAGCAACAGTTAAAATGAATACCAACAGTAATTCGAAGACAACATAACGACTTAAGATGTTGACGTTTCACACTACTTCAAACAAAAGGTTAGTAAGTAAGCTCACAATGAGTATTTGAAAGAGCGATAACAGTTAGTGCACGTGAAAAACGTATCTTCCTGAAGATTTGTTTCAACCGCCAGCAACACTGGCTGCTCTGTCGAATGACTAGAAAACGTTTCCTTATATGAAAACGGCTAATATTAAAATTGCCATTACTTATTCGTTTTAATTACAACTAAGGAAGAATGCAAACATGGCCGCGAGGAAAACGAAGGCATTTCCCTGATTCCTTAATAACAGTGGTACTGTGTTTTTATATATATATACAGGTTGTAATAACTAAATTGTCCAAATCGTGAAACAGTATAATTATCCATCCTACAAAATGTTTAATATCTAAAAAAAAGAAAAAATTAAACAAATTGGGTTTCGTTTTCCAAGGTTTTCAGATAAGACATTTGTCACCATTTTTCGTAAGAATCATTGAAAAACACTTTGAGTTATTCAGCTAGTAAAAAGAACAGGTTAAAATCATTATTTTATCAGACCCACTTTCTTCTCAAATGAGCTATGAAATGTGGAAAAAGGCCTTCAGTAATAGTTCCAAAATTCATACACTGGCTTCCATCTTCAAATTCCATTTTAAGAAGCAACAAGAGAACGGTGAATAAGTTTAAAAAAGAGGGAATAGTAGAGAGAAAAAACTGGATCGGGAGTTCACAACTGGAAGAGGGGTCATCGTTTCAACTTAGAGATAAAGAGATCAATTAGAAAAGATCCAACTCAAACCAGACGACGTTTGGCACGAGAGAGAGAGGGGGGGAGTTTCACCTATGACAGTCCAAATAGCAGTGAAAAAAAGACTTAAAAAGGAAATCGTACGTGAAACATGTTAAGAACCTTGCTACTCCAGGACATAAATTTAGACGGTTAGAGAGGGCAAAGATCTTCTTGAATAAGTTGGAAAATGATACTGGAATAATATATATATATATATATATATATATATATATGAACTTTATTTCACTCCTTCCTGAGTTTCTGATCCTTAGCTATGATTAACTAATGATTCACATGTAATTTTCGTTTATGATCGATTCCATCACGATTCTTCTGTTAATCTTGGAGAGTAATTATACATTCTTTTTTATCAAAGTAGAGTTCAATATGGTTATAAATGCCTCGGAGAATTCCAGTAAGGTATCTTTAATCCTTTCTAAACTACAACGGTTCAGAACTTAATCTAACAATCGGACAATTTTGCTGTTACTTGATTTGGACAATTTTTTCGTTACACCTATATATATATATATATATATATATATATATATATATATATATATATATATATATATATATATGTAATGTGTGTGTGTGTGTGTGTGTGTGTGTGTGTGTGTGTGTGTGTGCGTGCGTGTTTGTGTTGGTGTGTTCAATTTAACCACAACCGAAAATTCAAGCAATTCAGCGACAGATTAAATGATCCCTCTTAGAAATGTGTCTGCGAGCGTATACGCGTATGTGTCTGTGTGTGTCTTTGTGTATCCGTGTGTGTTTAATTATAGGCATGCCCTTCGGAATTACTTATTCCCCTTAACTACAACCGACGAAGCAGGAATGAAATGAAACAATTTCTCTGTTGATGGCAATGTGCTCACGCGCGCACCAGTGCGTGTGTATGTGTTTGTGTGGTTGTTCTTGTGTTTGTGCGTACAGATACGTGAATGTGTGCATGCGCAAGAGAGAGAACAGACAAAGCAAGAGGGAGAGTATTCAAGGTATGTTCTTCGGAATCACTTTTTTCGCTTCAACAGCAACCGATCTAAAACATGCAAAGAAGGTTGCGACATAAATGGAATCTCTCTCTCTGATGTCTATATAACGGTGGCAATGTAAGCAGAGAAAAGTTATTCTCCTAGGATTCACAATGGCGAAGAGTGGGGAGCAAAGATGCCACCCTGGAGCTTCTGTTTTGACATTTTCAGAATTAAGAAACAAATTCACCAGCATGCCACTTAGTGCCATTTTGTATTACTTTGTATCGTTTTCTACCAGTCTATTTATTCACGGTTTACCATTTACTGTACAGCGACCAGTCACCCCCATCTTCGCTCATCATTTCCTTAGCACAACCCCTGTCAGCCATTCCCACTCCCGCCTTTGCACGATCTTATCCACCCGCCTCGCTGAGTCGGTTCTCTTCAATTCACGTGCACCAAGACTTTTATTTCGTGGCGGGAAAACATCTGGAAGTCGCAGACGTAAGATTTCGAAAATGTCATTCGACGTTTTCGTTATTTTAAGCATGTCCGTTGTTGGCGTCATCTTATAGCAGCTCTGTTCATCGCACGAGAAAGCTGAGGCCGACTAAACATTGGATATTGCATTTCACTATTTGATTCACTCTTACTAAAGCGTACCAAGTCTCCGGGTTACGAACGCCCAACTTAAGAACATCCGATTTGCAGACGCTCTTTGTTATGGCGTTCGAAAAGTAATGACGTATTTCACCGCTATGAATTATGGGAACTACTTAACTGGTTCGCTCATAAAAAAGGCAAGGAAAAAAATCGAAAAATAGCGAATTTATCACTTTATAAAGGGGTCTCGTTAATAATATAAATACAGTATTTATCGTTCCACCCACGAGGACCGAATATGGCACAAGGCCGGTTTTAATGTGGGTATCCCCGAGCCCGTAGGCCCGGCCAAAAAATAGCCTTTTGAAGCCGATTAGACGGGTTCAGGCCCTGTCTACCTCCCCGGACGAAACCTTGCCCTTCAGCAAAGCCTCGTCCGGGTTCCTCTCTGCTAACGCAGAGAGTTCGACACAAGGCGTGCGCAGTCAGAGACCGCTCAACACCATTCCCTGACTTCATAAAAAAAAAAGGTAATCTGTAATTTGTTTTTATTTACAATTATCACACTGTGCTGGGTACTACATCCGGCAGCACGACCTCTAGTCCTGAAATTTTTAGGAGTGTGGAACTAACTCTTAATTACTGTTCTTCCCAGGTCCACAATGACCTCGGCTGCTAGGACCTGTTAGAGTCCGACCTATGGAAAAATACTGAACCTTCAAACAGGGGTAAAAAAGTGAAAGTATAAAAATAGATGTACATAGTAAAAAGTATTAGCAATAAAATAAAAAAAAGAAAATTACTTGTAATAGATTTTTGTAAAAATAACAATAATAATAATAATAGACAAAACCGGTACCCATCAGTGGCTACGTAGTGCAGGGCTGAAAGCTGAAACTGAAGGTTTTATCCTTGCTGCACAGGACCAATGCTTGCTAACTAGGAATTATCAAGCGAATATACTAAAATATTGTGTCAGCCCAAAATGCAGATTCTGTGATAAATATCCAGAAACGATTGATCATCTTGTATCAGGTTGTACGATATTGGCACCCACTGAATATAAAACCCAGCATGACAGAGTGGGCCAATATCTGCACTGGAAAATCTGCAACTTCTACGGGAAGGAAACTGAAAGAAAATGGTATGAACACCACCCAGACCCGGTTACGTAGATAAGACCTGTTACAATTCTATGGGACTACACAATACACACTGACAGAACAATCAAGGCCAACCGGCCAGATATTGTTATTAAAGACCACAAACCAAAAAAGTGTCTCCTTATTGATATGGCAGTCCCTGTTGACTGCAATGTATCTTTGAAGATATTCAAAAAGTTGTCAAAATACAAGGACCTTGAAATAGAAATCTCGAAAATGTGGCATATGGGAACATCAACAATCCTTGTTGTAGATGGAGCCCTAGGACTGGTTGGAAAAGATTGCAGTAGACTAATTGAAGGGATTCCTGGAAGTCCATGCCTCAAGGAGATACAAAATTGTTCTGACAAGTACAGCCCACACTTTACGAAGGGCTTGATCTATGTAATTTTTTTTTGTCAGTGGAAAGTGTCATGATGCCATTTCTAACCTTAGGTCCCTGGGCGGGACCCGGAAAGAAATGTGTAAACGCCAGAAATCAAAGAAAATAATAATAATAATAATAATAATAATAATAATAATAATATATCCAATCTCCCACAAAAATTAAATTTCGGCATTAAATGACCCAAAAAGATTCGATGTACCGTTAAACAAACATAACTGACAAACAAATACAATTGTCACATGCTTACGGACATATCATGTTGAAACACCGGTTACCGTACTACCGCCGAAGTTAAGCTACGTTGAGCCTTGTCAGTACCTAGATGGGTAGCCGTTTCGAAATGTCGGGTGCTGTGAACTTGGATGTGCGGCTGGTGTAATAGATAATAATGGCTTGGATAAAAAAAAGATGGACAACAGAAATATTAATCACTATTAAATTGTTTATTTACGAGAATGATTTTAAGTTTACATCCTAAAACCTGATGCAATTAAAACACGCAATACAAGATTTATCATTTAGATATTTATAAAGATATAAATATGAAAACATTTATTTGTTCATAAATTTATAAACATTTACTAAATTATTAAATTTGAATAAACTACTGTAAAATGCCTTATATCCGGAATCCCTCATATCCGGAGTGCCTTATATCCGAATCCCCTCATATCCGGAGGCCTTATATCCGAATCCCTCATATCCGGAGGCCTTATACCCGAATCCCTCATATCCGGAGTGCCTTATATCCGAATCCTCATATCCGGAGTCCTTATACCGAATCCTCATATCCGAGTGCCTTATATCCGGAATCCCTCATATCCGGAGTGCCTTATATCCGGAATCCCTCATATCCGGAGTGCCTTATACCCGGAATCCCTCATATCCGGAGTGCCTTATATCCGGAATCCCTCATATCCGGAGTGCCTGAATCCTCATATCCGGAGTGCCTTATATCCGAATCATATCCGGAGTGCCTTATATCCGGAATCCCTCATATCCGGAGTGCCTTATATCCGGAATCCCTCATATCCGGATTGCCTCATACCCGGAGTGCCTTATATCCGGAATCCCTCATATCCGGAGTGCCTTATATCCGGAATCCCTCATATCCGGAGTGCCTTATACCCGGAATCCCTCATATCCGGAGTGCCTCATACCCGGAATCCCGCATATCCGGAGTGCCTTATATCCGGAATCCCTCATATCCGGAGTGCCTTATACCCGGAATCCCTCATATCCGGAGTGCCTCATACCCGGAATCCCGCATATCCGGACATGATTTTGATGTGTATATTTGAACTATTTGTAACTGATTTGAAAATTCTGTTTTTTCAGGAAATTTACTTTGGATAATTGCTTATGCTTATGTCACCCTAATGGCGTGTACTGGTGCAAAAGATGATGGGAATAAGAGGAAAAGAACAACTTTGGAGTTATCGCAAAAAGTGGAAATTTTAAACAGACTAGACGCTGGTGAAAGTTCAATGTAAATAATGGCTGAGTTCAAAATAAGAATGCCAACATTGTATGATATAGAATCTTCCAAAGAAACTATTCTCTAGCTTTTACACTGTCACAATGAACAAGTAATTAAAAAAAAAAACATGATTGTGATGGAACCTGGACTGAAATTAAAAAAAGCTGTGGAAAAGGTTATCAGTTTTATGGAAAAAAGCCAGCATTCAGCTCTGACGATTGCAATAACGCACGCAGAGTTAAAAAGTGTCTTTCGTTTAAAAAAAAATTCAAGAAGAAAAGCAAAACGAAATGCGGAAAAAAGTTGAGAATGACATTAGAAGAGAAAGAATCATCATGTAACAGCGATTAAAAATATCCTCGTTACATTATTTGTTTTACATACGTGGCATACTTAATTTAATGAATTTTCATTAGCATTACATAATTTATTTCTTTTTCCTTAAAATTGATTCCGTTATATTTCACTGACCATTAGTTCATTTTGTTTGCTATAAAGCATTGAAAATAAATGTTAAACCTGATTTCGGTTCTTTTATTTTAATCTAAATATAACCTCCCATATCCGGACTTTGAAACCAATTCCTTATATCCGGAAAACCTTTTTAGTCCGGTTGTCAGGGATTCTACTGTATAAGAAAATCCTTATTCGTTACCATTTTATAAATTTCGAAGCAAGTGGCTTTCAACCGATATTTTGTAAACCATTCCAATAAAAAAAATATATTAAATAAAGAGAGTTTTTTTTTTGACAATTCTCAAAAACAAAGAAAATTTTAAAATTAATTTTCATCATATATTTAGGTTTTATTACAATTCTAATCATCGCCTTTTAAAAGAATAAACATTACCGAGGGAGTGAAGGTACTTAAAATAATAGCTGTGTCATGGGAAAAACCGTCCTCTTGACATTTCGATTTTCTTTTGCGGAAACGATTGTTTACATTTGCCATAAGAGGAGAATGCGCGTACTTGTATGTATATACGTCTCAGGGAGGGAAAGGAGTCGTTACTTATTACTTCAAGCGGGGCCCGCCGTCATGTATCTGACCAGACAGAAATTGTGTGTGCGTTTGCTTCCTTTTTATGGAAGAGCGCACATTGCAGGTGAACCGGGAGTTATCTGGGAGTGGATTGTAAATTGCCAAAGGGAGTCGCAGTGTGTAGTTATAAAAATGAAAAGAATTGTAGCTAACGGAAGGTACACAAGTCGAGACCCGATCAGTATCGGCTGGGTAACCGTAGGGTATGATGTTGAAAGACCCGAAATCCCTAAAGAACCTCGGCTAGAAACATCATTGATGATGTGTACCAAACCATCCAATAGATGTATTTTACGAAATAGGTATTATTACAATTCTAATCAACGCTTATTAAAAAGAATAAAGATTACCGAGGCAGTGAAGGTACTTAAAATAATAGCGGTCTCATAGGAAAAACCGTTCTTTTGACATTTCGATTTCCTTTGCGAGAACGATGGTCTAAATTTGCAATAATAAGAGAGCCGTGTTCCAATTCCAGTTGGGTTCGTTATATTAAGCGCAAATACTCTCGGGAAAGGCATGAATCCACCTCTTCTTTTATATCCACATCATTTCTTGTTTGTTTATTAAATTCTGATTAGGTATGAATCCACCTCCTCCCCACCCACAGCTATGGGTTAATTAGTAAGACTGGTATCAGTAAATCATTATTATTTAAAAACAAAAATTCTTATAATCCAAAAAGTATTTTCTGGCTTTAAAAGCAAAAGAGTTGATATGCCGTAAAAAAAAAAAAAAAAAAAAAAACCGAATCAATCCCACTTCTTGTTTTGACATCCATTTACACAAAATTGTTAAATAGGTTACTTGATTTTTCCTTTCTGGCCCTTCTTGACTTCAGCATGTCCTGTGAGTATCAAATTCTCCAAGTCCTCTTTCCTCATAAGTCATCTCGGAAATTTTAACTGTTTCCAAAATATTAATTATTTGCGCCCCAAAATTTCTTGTAATTTAAAACTGTTGTGGCCTGTTTAAGGGCCAGAAAAAAAAGACACAGAAGGCGAAGGTAGGTTGAAAAAGCATATTGAAGATATATACAAAACAATAGTGTTAGTAATAAGTAGATTAGCATTGCGTCTACTACTCCACTACACTGCACACTCTGCGCTCTATCCGACTCTCTCAGTTTGTATTTATGAGAGAAGAAAGAGTTCATTATACTGTAAGAGGGTTTACCACAACAAAAACTATTTTCTGGTGTTAAAGAACCTGCAATTCGGTTGACAAGCCGTGGAAAATAAAGTGTTACACTTGAACATTTGCTTACATCATTGATAACTGCGTACTATTGACGTTATTATCCCTACTCGCATTGGTACGTAGTGATCAACGATATAACCTGTTTTAAACTTGACAATTGTAAATAAAAACAGATAACTCTTTATAAAATCAGGGATCAATTTTGAAACTGTATTTATAACATGAAGATGAACCGCTTCTATAATGATTAAAAAAAAAAACAATAGTTTTCGATTCTGACAAATTTTGTGGTTAGAGGATTTTGTCCAGCAGTGACCACAAAGTGAAAACGAAAATATAACCGGGATGCCATTTAATACCTAATAAATGAAAGTGACTAAATGTCATTGTTGACTTATTTCTCAATCGTACATATATATATATATATATATATATATATATATATATATATATATATATATATATATATATATATATATATATATATATATATATATATATATATATATATAATGCATGTTTCCTTATATATGATAGACAAGTTTTGTCTATTTATTTTAAGCAAATTCCTTTCATATTGTCGAATAAGCTATTTAGCATTATCACTGACACACGAAAGGAAATCACTATATTGATACATGTTTTTATTGTTAATCCTGTCTAAGCTATCGGCTTATATAAGCCATCATCAGAGATTAGTTTATTGTACATGCCCTGTTTGTTGCTGTTAAGGGTGTTCCATTTTTTTTTTTTTGGCTATTTCAATTTACCTTTTCACCAAGCTACATTTACTTATGTAATCCGAATATATATATATAAATATATATTATATGTGTGTGTGTGTATGTGTTTCAAAAATACTTTTACGAATCTGTTTTCATTGAAATGTTGCAAATTTGAACCATCGTTCCCGTAAAAGTAATCGAAATGTCAAAAGAACGGTTTTTCCCATGACACCGCTATTATTTTAAGTACCTTCACTGCTTCGGCAATCTTTATTCTTCTTAATAAGCGTTGATTAGAATTGTAATAATACCTATTTCGTAAAATACATCTGTTGGATGCTTTGGCACACATCATCTGTAATGTTTCTAGCCGAGGTTTCGAGTCTTTCAACTTCCCCTCTTCACGGTTATCCAGCCGATACTGATCGAGTCTCGACTTGTGTACCTTCGGTTAGCTCTAATTTTTTTCATTACACACTACACACTACGACAGTCCTTGGCAATTTATAGCCCACTCCCAGATAACTTCCGGGTCACCAGCAATGTCCGCTCTTCCATAAAAAGAAAGCAAACGCAGAGACAATTTCTATCAGGTCAGAAACATGGCAGCGTGTTCGGCTTTAAGTGGTAAGTAACAATTTGTTTCCCTCCCTGGGACATATACACATACATGGACACACACTCTCCTCTTATGGCAAATTTGGACCAAAAGAAATCGAAATGTCAGAAGGACGGTTTTCCCATGACACCGCTATTATTTTAAGTACCTTCACTCCCTCGGTAATGTTTATTCTTTTTAAAAGCGATTATTATTAGGTTGGTGCAAAAATAATGACGTAATAATGTCGTTTTTTGACGTATTTTTTAACGTCAAAAAAGGACATTATTACGTCATTATTTTTGCACCAACGTAATAGAATTGTCATAAAACCTAAATATATGATGAAAGTGAATTTTAAAATGTTCTTTGTTTTTGAGAATTGTCAAGAAATAAACACTATTTATTTAATATATTGTTTATTGGAATGATTTATAAAACATCGGTTGAAAGCCACTTGCTTCGATATTTATAAAATGGTAACGAATAAGGATTTTTTTAATAGTTCGTTCACGTATTTTAATAATCTCGTCAATTTTTAGAAATTTATGAACAAATAATTGTTTCCATATTTATTTCTTTATAAATTTCTAAATATTAAACATTTAGTTTTAATTGTATCAGGTTGTAGGATGTTGCTAATCTAAAATTATTATCGTAAATAAACAATTTAATAAATAAATAGTGGTTAATATTGCTGTTGTAAATTCTTAAGCACAGAATAAATTAACTTTCATCATATATTTAGGTTTTATTACAATTCAAATCATCGCTTTTTAAAACAACAAACATTGTCCTGGATGGGATGGTAGTTAAAATAATAGCAGTAATAATCGAAAAACCGTACATCTGACACTTCGATTTTAGATTTTTTTTTTTCAGGAACAAAACTCCAACTTTGCCAGAAACATTTTATGAATTTTAACCGGTAGAAGCGCTAACTGTTCGATCAATAACAAGCTAATGTTTCCTGTATGGAAACTGTCAATTTCACCATTGCTAATGTGACAAATTAAAATGAGTTTCATAAATAACTGGAGAAGAATACTAATCTTTCGCGGGTCACTATTTTTGTTTTTATAAGTGAAACTGCAGCGTTTACAATTGACGCCAGTTAGTCTCTTTCGATTTTTTTTCATTGTTTATAGTGAAGCCTTTCCCTTTGAGTCTCATCCATCATTTTGCGTCTTGGCCTGGTCTTTCTTTCTCTTCTTGTTTACTTCTCTCTAAATCTCCTTCACTTTTCTTTTCTCGTTTGCAATATACAATATTTATTTAATATTTAGTATACACTGTTTATTTTATATTTTAGTTTTGTTGCCTATTTTTATTTTTTGTTCACTGCCTTTCTATCTATCTATCTATCTATCAATCTATCTATCTATCTATCTATCTATCTATCTTATTCTGTTCAGTATCTATCTATCTGTTTCAGTCTTTTCATATCTATCTATCTATCTATCTATCTATCTATCTATCTATCTATCTATCTATCTATCTATCCGTTTCAATCTTTTCATTATCTATCTATCTGTTTCATTCAATCTTTTCATGTCTATTTATCTATCTCAGTCTTTTCATCTATCTATCTATCTATCTATCTATCTATCTCAGTTTTTTTATTTCATATCTATCTTTCTATTTATCTATCTATCTATCTATCTATCTCAGTTTTTTTTATTTCATATATAAGTCTTTTCATTTCATTCTATCTATCTATCTATCTATCTATCTATCTATCTATCTATCTATCTCAGTTTTTTATTTCACATCTAAGTCTTTTCATTTCTATCTATCTATCTATCTATCTATCTATCTATCTCAGTTTTTTTTTTCATATCTAAGTCTTTTTCATTTCTATTTCTATCTATCTATCTATCTATCTATCTATCTATCTCATTTTTTTATTTCACATCTATCTATTTCTATCTCCATTTTTTATCCATCCATCTATCTCAGTTTTTTCATTTCTATCTATCTATCATTTCTATCTATCTATCTATCTATCTATCTATCTCAGTTTTTTTATTTCATATCTAAGTCTTTTTCATTTCTATCTATCTATCTATCTATCCATCTATCTATCTATCTCATCTATCTATCTATCTATCTATCTATCTATCTATCTCAGTTTTTTTATTTCATATCTAAGTCTTTTCATTTCTATCTATCTATCTATCTATCTATCTATCTATCTATCTCAGTTTTTTTATTTCATATCTAAGTCTTTTTTTCTATCTATCTATCTATCTATCTATCTATCTATCTCAGTTTTTTATTTCATATATAAGTCTTTTCATATCTATCTATCTATCTATCTATCTATCTATCTATCTATCTATCTCTATCTATTCATCTCAGTTTTTTATTTCATATCTAAGTCTTTTCATTTCTATCTCTATCTATCTATCTATCTATCTCAGTTTTTTTATTTCATATCTAAGTCTTTTTTCATTTCTATCTATCTATCTATCTATCTATCTATCTATCTATCTATCTATCTCAGTTTTTTTATTTTCATATCTAAGTCTTTTCATTTCTATCTATCTATCTATCTATCTATCTATCTATCTATCTATCTATCTATCTATCTATCTCTTTTTTTTATTTCATATCTAAGTCTTTTCATTTCTATCTATCTATCTATCTATCTATCTATCTATCTATCTATCTCAGTTTTTTTTATTTCATATCTAAGTCTTTCATTTCTCATCTATCTATCTATCTATCTATCTCAGTTTTTTTTTTTTATTTCATATAAGTCTTTTTCATTTCTATCTATCTATCTATCTATCTATCCATCTATCTATCTATCTATCTATCTATCTCTCAGTTTTTTTATTTCATATCTAAGTCATTTTTCATTTCTATCTATCTATCTATCTATCTATCTCAGTTTTTTTATTATATCTATCTATCTATCTATCTATCTATCTATCTATCTATCTATCTATCTATCTCAGTTTTTATTTCATAACTAAGTCTTTTTCATTTCTATCTATCTATCTATCTATCTATCTATCTATCTATCTCAGTTTTTTATTTCATATCTAAGTCTTTTCATTTCTATCTATCTATCTATCTATCTATCTATCTATCTATCTATCTATCTATCTCAGTTTTTTTATTTCATATCTAAGTCTTTTCATTTCTATCTATCTATCTATCTATCTATCTATCTATCTATCTATCTATCTATCTATCTCAGTTTTTTTATTTCATATCTAAGTCTTTTCATTTCTATCTATCTATCTATCTATCTATCTATCTATCTATCTATCTCAGTTTTTTTATTTCATATCTAAGTCTTTTCATTTCTATCTATCTATCTATCTATCTATCTATCTATCTATCTATCTCAGTTTTTTTATTTCATATCTAAGTCTTTTCATTTCTATCTATCTATCTATCTATCTATCTATCTATCTATCTCAGTTTTTTTATTTCATATATAAGTCTTTTCATTTCTATCTATCTATCTATCTATCTATCTATCTCAGTTTTTTTATTTCATATCTAAGTCTTTTCATTTCTATCTATCTATCTATCTATCTTTTTATCTATCTATCTCATCTCAGTTTTTTTTCATCTAAGTCTTTTCATTTCTATCTATCTATCTATCTATCTATCTATCTATCTATCTCAGTTTTTTTTTTTCATATCTAAGTCTTTTCATTTCTATCTATCTATCTATCTATCTATCTATCTATCTATCTATCTATCTTTCATTTCTATCTATCTCAGTTTTTATTTCATATCTAAGTTTTTCATTTAAGTCTATCTATCTATCTATCTATCTATCTATCTATCTATCTATCTCAGTTTTTTTTTTATTTCATATCTAAGTCTTTTCATTTCTATCTATCTATCTATCTTCTATTATCTATCTATCTATCTATTTTTTTTATTTCTATCTATCTTTTCATTTCTATCTATCTATCTATTATCTTTTTATTTCATATCTAAGTCTTTTCATTTCTATCTATCTATCTATCTATCTATCTATCTATCTATCTATCTCAGTTTTTTTATTTCATATCTAAGTCTTTTCATTTCTATCTATCTATCTATCTATCTATCTATCTATCTATCTATCTATCTCAGTTTTTTATTTCATATCTAAGTCTTTTCATTTCTATCTATCTATCTATCTATCTATCTATCTATCTATCTATCTATCTGTGCATGTATGCATGCATTCGTACGTGCGTGCATGTAACTGACAGACATATTTTTTCATTAAAATCTCCACCCTTGTTAGTATGTTAAAATAGCGAGTGAATATTAATTCCATCATTCTAAACCTTTTCACTGAAAAATTAATATCAAAATAATCCACCTGCGTGCTATGTTGCAGACATCGTGAGACCACATCTATATATCTATATCTATATGTATGTGTGTGTGTATGTGTGTGTAATGGATATATTTTTAATCCGATAGTTATATTTCTTTAAACGTTATTGTTGTGGACACATTTTATTTGAAATATATTCTCCCATTTTCTTTACTTATAAATAATTATAAATGGGGCATCAATTTCAAATAAGTGTTGTCCACTACGTAAAAGTTTGGATCAATATATATATACATATACAGTGTAACCCGGATATAAGGGAGTTGTCGGGACCGGAGAAGAAGTCTCTTATATCCGGGTTTCTTATATCCGGGTTTGGTCTTTTTATATACATTAACACAGGCTCTAATTTGAGACCAGAGAAAATCTCTTATATCCGGGTCTTTTATATCCGGGTTACACTATATATATATATATATATATAGTGTGTATATTATATAGTGTATCTTTCATATTAAAGAAAATGTGTCATCTATTTCTTCCTCTCTATGAACTGACTGCACGCTCCAAAAGTTTGTAACCGTTAACAATAACACGTTTCAAAAAAAAAAAAATAGAATAAAGAAACATATTTCGATTCGCATTTAATTTATTCGCCTCGGATGCCACTTGAATTTTACCGAAAACAAAATAATTTCTATGCCTGAAGATGACTGAATGTACAGTCGAAAGTACTTGGATATTAAAGAAAGACTTTATACAGCTTATAATTTTGAAAAACAAGGATCATAAAATTCATCGAGTATTTGTAGGTTGAAGCACCTTTAAAATTTTGTTTGCGAAGAGATTTCGCCATTTTTATATCATTAACTTTGCTAATCTACTTTTGTATGGATGATTCATTGTAATATATATATATATATATATATATATATATATATATATATATATATATATATATATATATATATATATATATATTGAAATGGACAAAGTCTGACAATTTATTTATTAAAGACATTTTTTTGTTTAACGTTCTTTTTATAGATACAAGTATTTAAGTAAATATATATATATAGATAATATTTTACTTAAATACTTGTATCTAAAAAAAGAACGTTAAATATATATATATATATATATATATATATATATATATATATATATATATGCTTTTCGTGCCCTGAGGTAAATGTGGTGATTTTATTTCGTAATTTATATTTATACACAGAAGTGTAGAAAAAATACAGTTACGTCTTCGGATTTAAATTTACGATCGCTCTAAAATATTCTGTAATCTGTGTAAGGAAAAGTAAACTATAGAAGATTGTAAATATTGTCATTTATTATCTCATGAACGAAAGTAAGTAAATGTTGTTGAATTTTTATTTATTTATTATGCGTATGCGTTTGTGTCTGTGCGTTTGTGGCAATATATATAAAAGTCAAAGGAAAACTCTTCTTTACCAACTAAATTCTAAGTAAGGTATTTCCTCTTTTAATAAGTATAGCATTCTTGAAATCCGAAATTTGGGTTGAAATTATTTGTAGAGTTTATCAGTTATACAGAGAAAGAGGAAAGTTCTTGAGAGTGCAATTATTGATTCTTGCCAAAATGTTACATTTCTAAAAAAAAAAAAAAAAAAAAACAGCCCTTTTCTTAAAGGAAATACTCCTTTCCTAAACAATAAACATGACTATAATGCTTTCAAAAATAGAAATAAAAATGACTGATTATATATTTCAAATGAATAAATTAATACAAAAATATTTTAACAAAATAAACTAAATTAAATCATAATAATTGAGTTAAAGTAAGCTCTGTTCCATCTTCAAGCGAATTTTTTTGGAACGCTTGAAGATGGAACAGAGCTTATTTTAACTCAATTTAATTCAAATAATTATATTGAAGTTTTCGGCTCTTGTTTTGAAACATGAGACCTCTTATGTCGCGAGTTGGAATCATATTTTTAAATAAATAATTATATATATATATATATATATATATATATATATATATATATATATTTGAACTTTATTTCAATCCTTCATGAGGTTCCGATCATTAGCTATGATTAATTAATGATGAACATGTTATTTTCGTTTATGATCGATTTCATCACGGTTCTTCTGTTAGAGAGTAATTATACATTCTTATGTTCAGAGTAGAGTCCAAGAGCGTTTATAAAAACCTCGAAAATAGAAAAATTTCGCTAGAAGCAAAGAAAAGAGTACTGAAACGTCTTGTGATATCTATCCTGTTCTATGGCAGCGAGCGGTGGACAACCTCCTCAAAGATGAAGGAGAGAATTGGAACAACCAAAATGTGGTTCTACAGAAGGATGCTGAGGATCCCATGGGCAAAATAGGTGAACAACGACGAAGAAAAATGAAAACAAAAAAGGAAACTTATACTTAACATCTGGGAGAGGTTTCTGGGTCTTATAATGAGGACAAGGGACTTGTAAAATCTTAAAAAACTCATGGGTCATATTGAGGACAAGAGAAATAGGAGAAAGCGGTGAGCTACTTAACTGGTGAGCTTATGTGAATGATTGCCCGAACGGGGGTGGGAAACTCAGCGAGAGGTGAAAATCTGCTAAGAGCCCCACGAGATACGAAGTTGTGGAGAGCCATGAAATCAGTTTGAAAAACAACAAGCAAAAAATGGGAATAACAGCTTCTTTAATGTTACTGCAAAGACAGAAGTAACAGGCATGAAACCACATCTTTCCTTCAGAGACTTGATTAAATGGATGACGGAACAATCTTTAGTAGACATATCAGAAAGACAAAGTTTATTAAGAGCTACAAGCTTGCATTAATATATTACTCGGACTGGTATCCTCATCTTAATTGCCATATTCACAACTTTTCGGCCGTTGTACGCTCCGGACTTCTTCAGGTAATTGGAATTTCGAACCGAACACTTTATTTCGTCACCTTTCGATACATGACTAACGAGGCAGATTTTTTTTCCCGTAGAAGGTTTCCATTTCTTTCTGCGGTGGACCAGTTGCCATCAAAAGCATCCGTTCTATCCTGCTATTTACCCATAGCTGGGGAGAGAAGACGAGGATTCATACCTTTCTCAAGGCTATTAGCACGTAAGTGAATGTAATGGAATCGACACGAATTCGAACTCGGCTCTCAGATTACTCAATCCGAGCCGCTATCCATTACTCCATCGTGCCTCCTCTTCAGTGTTTTCCAACTCCTGGTTCTCTATAAACAAAGACAAAATACTTGACCTTGTACCAGACATGATTAGATATACTAAGTGTTTTCTTTGTTTTCTCAAATTCCAATCTTCTTCTTCTTCTTCTTCTTCTTCTTCTTCTTCTTCTTCTTCTTCTTCTTCTTCTTCTTTCATTTTCTCTCTACACCTCTCCCTCTTACAGCCCTCTCTATCTATTGTTTTCATTTCTCTCTCTTTTGTTCTCGTTGTTTCCCTCGTTGTGCCTCTCAATCTCACACAAGTCTTTAAGCTTTCCTACCCTTTTCTTGCACTTTTCTTAAACAAGGTCAACCTTACTCGTCCTTCCGGTCAGGAGAAATCAGCTTCGTCATCATCTTGACCTTTCTTGGATTGACAGGGTTTGATTACATCCGACCAACTGGCCGGGCGACCGACCTGCTGCCTGACCATGCAGACAATGCAAAGTCATTTATGGCTTTCAGCTGTGTCCGACCAAAACGCCTGCCATTTTAGAAGGCATTCTTTTGCATCAGATTTTAATGCATAATCCTCATCGAATGGCCGGCTTAATTCTTTTCTGCTTTTAAAAACCCATGCGATCACTTCGCCCGTCTCGAGTAGGTTATCAAGGCTACTGAAACACAGAATTGCCCGCTTTCATATATATATATATATATATATATATATATATATATATATATATATATATATATATATATATATATATATAGAGAGAGAGAGAGGAGAGATAGATAGATATTTTATCAATATAAGTCTTCTTTATACACACACACACGCGCATATATATATATATATATATATATATATATAAATATATGAAAATTTCTCTGATTTTAACCAGTAGAAGACAATATTTATGAATAAAAATGACAATAGGAAAACTGGTAATTGCTGACGCGTTTCGTCCAATGTGGACTTTATCAAAGCAAAATACGAAAATGAAATTAAATGAACAAAGTAACTAATAAAAACAAAACAGAATGTACCTAGCAACTGGAATATAGAGAAACGCTATTTTCATATTTTTAACTGAAAAATAACGTCAGTAATTGTCACGTATTTTGCTTTGGTAAAGTCCACATTGGACGAAACGCGTCAGCAATTACCAGTTTTCCTATTGTCATTTTTATTCATAAATATATATATATATATATATATATATATAAAGAGAGAGAGAGAGAGAGAGGGTAAGATATAGATAGATAAATAGATAGATAGATATATTTTATCAATATAAGTCTTCTTTATACACACACACGCGCATATATATATATATATATATATATATAGAGAGAGAGAGAGAGAGAGAGAGAGAGGGGGGAGAGATAGATAGATATTTTATCAATATAAGTCTTCTTTATACACACACACACGCATATATATATATATATATATATATATATATATATATATATATATACGTATCTATCGATTCTTTTTTCTTTGTCATGGTTGTTACTTTCTAAGCTGAAGTGATTCGTTTTTTCTTTCTTGCTTCCATTGTTTATCTCTTTCTTTCTCAATTTCTTTGTTTTTTTTAGTTCTTTCATTCTTTATTTGCCTCATTCTCTCTATATATTTATTGATTCTTTGTTTGTTTGCTTTTTTCTTTCTTTCTTTTTTCCTCCTTTCGGAAATCCACTTTTTCATATACAGAGTATTTTATCAATATGTTTTGCTGACACACTGTCTTTTGATATCTATCTATCTTTGGAAGCTATGGCATACAAATCTATATATCAGAGGAATAATGCGTAATTGAATGATTAAAATAAAATAAAATCCGACGATGCTCAATTCGACTCTAATATATATATATATATATATATATATATATATATATATATTAAATATATGAGATTATATATATATATATATACATAATCTCATATATATAATTAATAAATAATTCGTTTCTTTTTTTCATAGTTGATTCACCCTTTCCCTGATTCCATCTATTTATTGATACTTTCTTTCTTTCCTTCTTTTTTTTTTCTTTCTTTCTTTTTTCTTTATATATTTCATTGTTTCTTTCTTTTTTCCTACTTTCGAAATTCCACCCTTTCATATAAAGAGTATTTCATCAATATCTTGTTTCCACACACACACACACACACACACACACATATATATATATATATATATATATATATATATATATATATATATATATATATATATATCTTTTGATATCTGCCTGACTTTTTGGAAGCTATATACCAGAGGAATAGTGCATGAATGATAAAAATTTAAAAAAAATCCGATGATGCTCTATTCGATTCTAAAATCTATCTATCTATCTATCTATCTATCTCTCTCTCTCCCCTCTCTCTCTCCTCCCTCTCTCTCTCTCTATATATATATATATATATATATATAATTCGTTTTTTCTTTCATGCTTCCATTGTTTATCTCTTTGTTTCTTAATTGTTTTTTTTTTTTTATAGTTGATTCACCCTTTCCCTGATTCCATCTATTTATTCACACTTTCTTTCTTTCTTTCTTTCTTTCTTTCTTTTTTCTTTTCTTTCTTTCTTTCTTATTTTCCTTCTTTCGAATTCCACCCTTTCATATAAAAAAGTATTTCATCAATATCTTGTTTCCACACACACACACACACACACACACATATATATATATATATATATATATATATATATCAGTCTTTGATATCTATCTATCTTTGGAAGCTATGCCATACAAATCTATACATCAGGAATAATGCGTGATTGAATGATAAAATAAAAGAAAATCGACGATGCTCTATTCGACTCTAAAATCTATATTTTTAACCTTCTTATTGTAAAACTGTAAGTGGCTTTTGTTGAATTTCGTATATATATATATATATATATATATATATATATATATATATATATATATATGTGTGTGTGTGTTTGTGTAGTAAAGGTAATAAATCCGTTGGTATATAATCCAAGTGGATCCTAATAATATAAAATATTAAAACTGATCCAGAAAAAGGGCTCAATGTATTACAGAGCAAATAACTGATAAACAATAAAATCCCGAATCGCCTCATATGGGGAATAGCCTATTTCGGCGGATGAAGTTATCGGTCGTCTCTATTAACAGCCCCGATATGAACTGAGTTCGTGTCAGAAATAGAAATTTAACTTGATTGTCCGTTCTTCCAGGAATCTCCTTGTTGTCTGAGAAGGATTACTCGTAATTTTGGAAAGTCAATCAGTAATATTAATCGACACAGAACATTTGCAGCCTAAATACACATAATATATATATATATATATATATATATATATATATATATATATATATATATACATATATATATATATATATGTGTGTGTGTGTGTGTGTGTGTGTGTGTGTGTGTGTGTGTGTAAGTGCGCAGGTATGCAGAAAAGAGAAAAGAACACGTTGGGTGCATAATCCCGGGTTCCTTAGTATTTTTTGTTTTATTTTTAAGAAGACAGTGCTCCATACAGAAGTAGAGCTTTATTATAATAATATTTTTGTATAAAATATGATTCCTTCACTTCAATAAGAGTTCTCATGTTTCAAAACGAGAGACGAAACCATCCAAATAATTATTAAAATCAAGTTGAATTGAGGTGTTTAGTCTCGTTTCATCTTCAAGCGAAATTTAAGGAACCTTTTTAGAATTTTTAGAATCATATTTTTAAACAAAAAAATATATATATATATATATATATATATATATATATATATATATATATATATATATATATATATATATATATATATATATATATATATATATTATTAGCTGAGTATTTATCGATCCACCCACGAGGATTGAATGTGGCACAAGGCCGGTTTAAAGTGGGTTTCTCCGAGCCCGTAGGCTCGGCCAAAAATATACCCTTTGAACCTGCCTAGACGGGTTCAGGCCCTGTCTACCTCCCCGGACGAAACCTTGCCCTTCGGCAAAGCTTCGTCCGGGTTCCTCTCCGACAAAGCAGAGAGTTCGACAGACGTCGCTTACAGTCAAAGACTGTATCATGACTCAGCTAGACTCGCAGGTCTATCTGTCTTGGTATTTATCGATCCACCCACGAGGATTGAATATGGCACAAGGCCGGTTTAATGTGGGTATCTCCGAGCCCGTAGGCTCGGCCCAAAATATACCCTTTGAACCCGCCTAGACGGATACAGGCCCTGTCTACCTCCCCGGACAAAACCTTGCCCTTCGGCAAAGCTTCGTCCGGGTTCCTCTCTGCTAATGCAGAGAGTTCCACAGAAGGCGCGCGCAGTCAGAGACCGCTCAACACCACTATACATATTAGCTGTAATACAGCGAAACAGTTTCGCTGAGGATGACAATATATAAGCACATGAAAAACTTAAATTCACTTCTGTACTTTTGGAAGGATAAGTGCGAATTTGTAAACAATGACTATTACTATTAACATTACAAGACTCTTCCCCTTCCCGAAATTGTGTCAGTCATTGGCGTGTTTGTTCACAGAATAAGCCTTTGCCTTTCTTTCAGCCGTACACCGATGGCGTATGGGGAAAATATCCGACTTTTGGCGAATCAGTTGAGTTTCGATCTTGACTTGAAGCAATCGGATGTCTATGCCCACTAATGAGCTGTGATACAACGGAACAGTCTGTCTGGCATTTTACAGCAAAAAAACTAAAATTACCTCACCATAGAGGATTGTCTATTTTAAGCCATTCTAAGGATAGTCGCGTACAGAATGGCTTGAAATAGAATTGGATTTAAGCATGCTACTAGATTGGCAGGTAGGTCCCACCCATTTTTGAAATAGCTAAATGCAAACGCCAGTTCTACTCCAACAGTTTCTTTTCTTGCCTGTGGAAATTATTTCCATTTCCTTGCTTCCTTGATAACTGCAATCTTCAAAAATTTAAATGCAGCATCAATTGCTATCTTCTATCTTCTTGAATCCTGTTCATCTTTTGTACTTTCCTAGATCCTCCCTATACTCAGTCTTTTCTCACTTTCACTTTCCGTAGTCCCTTGCGTGTAATGGATAGCGGCTTGGATTGAGGGATCGCAGAGCCGAGTTCAAATTCCAGTTGAATCCATTACATTCACATAAGTGCTAATACCCTTGGGAAAGGTACGAATCTTCTTCTTCTCCCCCCAGCTATGGGTAAATAGTAGGACAGACTGGGTTCTATAGCCTTGAGTGGCAACTGATCTACCACAAGATGAAATGGCAAACTACTGCGGGAAAAAAATCTTTCTTGTCGAAAGATACATGATCACCTAAGCGTGTATCACGCATGGCACATAACTGACTGACTGGCCGTTGGGAAAGGTATGAATCCTCTTCTTCTCCCGCCAGATATGGGTAAATAGGCCGGGTTCTATAGCCTTGGGTGGCAACTGGTCTACCGCAGAAAGAAATGGCATCCTACTGCGGCAAAAAAATCTGCTTCGTTAGTCATGTATTTAAAGATACATGATCGCCTAAGCGTGTATCACACATGGCATATAACTGACCGAGTCCCTTGCATACTTAAAGAAAAAAATAGATAAATCAACTAGTTCGAATTCCTGTCAAATCCATTACATTCGCTTACGTGATAATACCTTTGCGAAAGGTATGAATCCTCTTCTTCTCCCTCCAGCTATGGATAATTAGCAGGACAGGCATGGTTCTATAGCTTTGGATGGCAACTGTTCTACTGCAGAAAGAAATGGCAACCTACTGCGGTAAAAAAAAATTTGCTTCGTCAGGCATGTATTTAAAGATACATGATCGCCTAAGTGTGTATCACGCATGGCACAACTGACCAAATCTCTTGCATAATTAAAAAAATAATAATAATAATAAAGAAACTGTAACTAATTCCATCTTTGCAAGGTTCCCCATAATTATGGCTTTGTGTCTTTAAGCTTAGTAAATAAGTATTAATGATATTCATTATGGAATGATTATCAAATTCTTTCTATCATTTCTGAAATATATTCCTGCATTAATATGAAGGCATTTATTAAATATAATGAGGAAGGCCATTTATCATAATAAATCTATTTGAAGTCATAATAAAAAAGATAGAGAAAAACAAAATCAATTAAGAAGTCTCCCAGTTCTATGCAAGATAAAAGTCAAGGAAACCATACAACTACAACAAAAAAAAAAATAAAAAATAAATAAATAAAAATCTTATATCAAATTAACAATATATATATATATATTTTACTTAGGCGCTGATGATAGCTTCGTACAGAACAGCTTGAAATAGACTATCTCTATGTTGAGGTAATTTTTTTTTTTTTTTTGGCTGTAAAAGATATATATGCTCTGTTAAAATAAAACATCGAGCTCTCTGTGGATCAGTTTAATAATTAATATTACTAGGATCCACCTGGATTATATACCAACGGATCGATTACCTGTATATATATATATATATATATATATATATATATATATATATATATATATATATATATATATATATATATATATATATATATATAATTTTTTATAAAACAAAAATTACTTCAACATGGGATAGTCTATTTCAAGTCTAGGGGCTCATGATAGCCGCGTACAGAATGGGCTTTTGAAATAGACTATCTTGAGGTAATTTTTTTTTTTTTTTGCTGTAAAAAATACATATGCTCTGTTACAATAAATACATCAGGCTCTCTGTGGATCAGTTTTAATCATACTTATTATAAAACCCAGGTTGTGTGTGTGTGTGTGTGTGTGTGTGTGTGTGTGTGTGTGTGTGTGTGTGTGTGTGTGTTCGTTTATATATTGGATGGGATTTCCTACATTTTTTAACCGATTTCAACAAAACTTCACAGGACTGCGTAAATTACCTTGCGGTGGTTCTGACAGCGCCAAAAATTGGAAAAACATAATTGTTTTTGCACAAAATCAATTTGAAAACACGATTAAGAGGCATCTCTGTCGAATGAAAGAGGGACAACTCATATCGAGTTATACTCATTTATGAGAATCACTGACAAACGCTTTGATTTAGTCTACTAGAATCGTTAAATTTTTTGTGTCAGATCCACTATGCCTTCCCAACTGAGCAATGGTGAGAGGAAAAAGATCATTCAAGTTTTCAGTAATGTACCGACATTCATATTCTAGCTTCCATCTTAAAAAATCATTCAAGAACCATCAAGGGAACGGTAAATAAGTTTTAAAAAAGACAGAAAAGTAAAGAGGAAAACTAGATGAGAAGGTTACAACATCATTTCTACTTAGAGATAAAGAGATCAATTAGAAAAGATCCAACTCAATTCCATAAGACGTTTGGTACGTGAGAGAGAAATTTCAGCTATGACATTCCAAGGAGCAGTGAAAAAGATTTGAAAATGAAATCCTACTTGAAAACTGTGTGTCAACTTGTTACTCCAGGACAGAATGTTAGAAGGTTAGAGAGAGCGAAGATCATTTTGAATAAGTTGGAATATGATCCTGGAATAATATATATATATATTCTTAAATATCTATAATTTCAATAATTGGTAACAGAAGCCATTGATTATACCAACGGCTTTCCTTATTTCATTCTCCAATTCACTTTCGTGTAGTCATGTGTGACGTCATGAGATGCGGTGCGATTTTCGCTTCTAGCGTCTTATATGCGCGTGTTCATCGTTGCTTAGTGATTCACTATGTAAACAAAACAATGACAGACTATATCATCACTGTCGTGTCCGTATATTGGTTGATATGTTTGTATTTACATCTTTGATAATGGCTTGAGTAAGCCGAAAGCTTAGATTTTATTAAAAATAATGGATAAATATTGTGAATTTCTTTTTCGGTTAATGATAATGTTACCAAACTTATCAGAAGATACGAAAAATTTTACATAAAATAAATAGACAACACTTGTCTATATTATTTAATGAAACGTGTATAAATATATATATATATATATATATATATATATATATATATATATTTTGAACCTTATTTCCAATCTTCTTGAGCCTCCGATTCATAGCTATGATTAATTAATGATGAACATTTTATTTTCGTTTATGATCGATTTCATCACGATTCTTCTGTTAAGCTTGTAGAGTAATTATACATTTTTATTGATCAAACTAGACTGTAATTCCAGTAAGATAACTTTAACCATTTCTAAGACACAACGATTCAAAGCTTAACCTAACAATTGGACAATGTTGCTGTCACACTCGATATAGTAGTGGCGACTTTGTAATCGCAGATACAACTATAGTAACGCCGTTGAACAATACTAGTGTCAGACGCCTTCGAATATCACTCGCACTAATAGTACTTGCTCAAGAGGTAGTGTTCCGAATAGAGAAATACAGTGCTGTTCGATAAAAGTGACTCATCAGATTTTTTTTACTAAATGTTCTCCGATGAAACGAAAGTTGAGCTAAATTCAAAAGATAAGCGATCTAAAATCCAAAGAAGCTTTGAAAGCTCTTTTGAATTTAGCAGTAAGTACTGTCAAGCATCCGTTCAGTATAATGTTCTGGGGATGCTTTTTTTTCATGGAACTGGTTTCTTAAAACCTATTGAAAAGACCTCAGGGCGAGCAGTACAAGAGAATTTTAGAGTCTTGTCTGCTCCTTCTGCTGAAAGGGTGCAAATCGACCCACCAAGCTCATTTTTTATACAGGATAATGCTCCCCTGTCACAAATCAAAATTGATGAAGGAATACTTTGATGAGAAGCAGGTGAGTGTTATGACATGGGCGCCCCAATCTCCTGACCTCAACCCCATAGAAAAAACTTATAGAACATTATAAAGTACAGGCTCGAGAAAAACAGTTGAGCAACATGCTTTATAAGTTTTCTTTCACACGACTTCCTATTTATGAGTTTCCTCTATGCTCACATGGTCTACTTTAATTAAATAATGGGATCACCTGTGTTTGCTCACTGGCGATCTAGGTTCAAACTCAAGTGTCGGCAACGATACTTTATTCTTATGTAACAACTTGGTGCAATATTCATACTTGTTGTGGTGTCCTCCATCTAAAGAATCTATGTTGGACTCGTCAGGCTAAAATAAGATTAATAGGAGAGAAAGCCTTGGGGGAACAGTCGAATAGATTGAACGCTGGGTCAACGACACACTCATTAGTCGTGTCATACTCATCTGTTGTACTTGCTGTTTAATATATGATATATCGGTAACACTTGTTTTGTTATTTCTGTAACCATTTTACTTGGTCACAACAATACCAAACAAATATCTAACGATGTAAATGAAGGTAAACTAAATTAGTTGATAGCAAATGCCATCACACGCATCTCCACTTAGAGAATTCCGATTTCTTTTGGTTGACCCAGGTTTTTGTTTTATTTAACGGCTATTAACAACTGTTAGTTTGCGGTTAACTGTGGACACGTTCGAATTGTTTACTTCCGCGTTATACGTGAATAAATTATTGACCGCCTCTTATCGAAATTGTTTCTATCGGAATTAGCCATTAGTCTTCAACGAAGCCCCCAAATATGGCAGCGACAATAGCGTTGTAAATGTCAGAAAAACAGGGCCGGGAGATTATATCGTCTTGTTCCTCTCAACGTAATCGGTCTCAACGTAATCTGCTCCGTCATCACCGGTCGCGCGCTTCTAAACACGAGATCTCAAGATCGAGCGATGAGAAAAGGAGAACATTTCTTTCTTTCTTATCGTAGAGAAGCTATTGATGTATCCAGAATAAAAAGAAGACGTGATGAAAATAAAAAATAAAAAAAATATTTTGAGTCATTTCGATTCAAGGCACAAAAATATGCAATCTAATATTATCTACAGATTTTATCAAACGAAGCTTTTTCACCCCGCGCGTGGCACCGCCATATTTGTTGTTACTGCATTCGCATACACTAGTAGCATTAAAATCATCTTGAATTTTTATGAGATGAATGCTTGCCAGTCATTATTCATTTTTGACTAGTATTTCTTTCATCTGCATTTTAGTTGCTTTGCATCCAATGGTGTCTTATAATTCTCCACGTCCTTTTCTTTCATAGTTTGCACTTACGTTGCACCTCATAAACAATGAACTATTCTGCTTTTTATAACAACGAATGCCAGAAATTATCTATAAGGGAGGCTGTTTTAAAGAAAGACAGAAGGAAAGAAAGAAGGGGTTGCGATACCAATACTTCATATATATTGGACTGTTCCGTCTTGATCGTGAGGAAAGACTGAAAAAAATATATCCGAGACACTGTTTGATTTCAGTGACAAAAAAAAACAAAAAAAACAAAAGAAAGAAATGAAGAACCCTACCAGTACCTCATAAATAATGGACTCTACTGTTTTGATCGCGAGGAAAAACATATCGGAGACGCTGTTTGATTTTAGGGAGAAATATATAATGGACTATTCCGTTTTGGTCTTGAGGAATGAAGGAAAAGACATATCAGAGACGCTGTTTGATTTCATTGAAGAAAGAAAGAAAGAAAGAAAGAAAGAAAGAAAGAAAGAAAGAAATGCCCTGCCAATACCTCATTAATAATCGACTGTTTTGTTTTGACCGCGAGGAAAGACGGAAAAGATATACCGGAGAATCTGTTTGATTTCTGTCAAAGAAAGAAAGAAAGAAAGAATGAAAGAAAGACCTTGCCAATACCTCATTAATAATGGCTGTTTCGTTTTGATCGTGAGGAAAGATGGAAAAGATATATCGGAGATGCTGTTTGATTTTATGAGGAAAAGAAAGAAAGAAAGAAAGGAAGAAAGGAAGAAAGAAAAAAAGAAACGCCCGGTCAATCACTAATAATCGACTGTTTCGTTTTGATCGCGAGGAAAGACGGAAAAGATATGTCGGAGAGGATGTTTAATTTCAGTGGAAAAAACAAAGAAACGCCCTCGAAATACCTCATGAAGTATGGACTGATCTGTTTTGATCACGAGGAAAGACGGAAAAAGACGTTTTCTTACTTTGTTTAACATACTGAAATCAACGTCTCTTATATTTGGTTGATTTCAATATGATAAACAAAGTAAGAAAACGAAATTACAACAGGAAAGGCCCGTAATTTTCCGTTTCTGCTAGTCTAAATATTATTTTAGATTGTATTATTAAAGGCAAGGACAGAGGAAAGCATCGTAACATTGTATAACCTACCTAACGAGCTCCGTCCCGGGTATGGCAATAAACTACATCAACGTCCTGGGTAAGATGATAGACTACATCCGCGTCCTGGGTAAGACGATAGACTACATCCGCGTCCTGGGTAAGATAATAAACTACATCCGCGTCCTGGGTAAGATGATAGACTACATCCGCGTCCTGGGTATGACAATAAACTACATCCGCGTCCTGGGTAAGATGATAGACTACATCCGCGTCCTGGGTAAGACGATAAACTACATCCGCGTCCTGGGTAAGATGATAAACTACATCCGATAGCAAGGTTTCTGATCAAGCGGTTTTGAAGAGCGTGAAAACAGCTCTTAATTACTGGTGTTCCCAGGTCCACCCTGACTCGGGCTGGTAGCACCTGTCACGATCCCAGGTGTGAGCAAATACTTAATCCCACCAAAACACTATGAAAGTATAAAAATAGGTTTTAATACCAGCAATACTTTTTTAGGAAGTTATTACCAGCAGTACATTTTTGAAAAAGAAAAATATTGCCAGCAATACATTTTTGAAAAATTATATAACCAGCAATACATTTTTGAGGAAAAAATATTACTAGCAATACATTTTTGTAAATAATTATTACCAACAAAACATTATTACCAGTAATATATTTTTGAAAAAAATACATTACCAGCAATACATTTTTAGAATTTAATAAATGGAAGGTTGTATGTGTATCGATGATTTTTTCGGTGCATGAATCATATTATCAGTGTGCATGTTCATCTATTCGTTAGTTTGCTCGATCGTTACGTCCTGCCAATATCTCATAAATAATGGACTGTTTCTCGTTTTGATCGCGTGGAAAGAGAGGTGGAAACGATATTACATGGTTTCAGTGAGAAAAGGAAAGAAATAAGGGAAGACAGAAAGGTAGAGAGAGAGAGAGAGAGAGAGTAGTCAAATTATAAGAACAGATACTACACTTTGATCACAGCCAAAGGACCAAGAAGATATGCCGTCATCGATAAAATCGCCATTTTTCAGAAGCACAGTGTCGAATGACGGAGACCGAGTAAAGTAACTTCGTCTGCTGAATTATCTTTTGAAATTATTATGAAGGAAAAATGTTCGTAAGACGGGGTGGAAGGGAAGATTGAAGTTTTCAACGTCTCCTGCCAATACCTCATAAATTATGGACTAATCCGTTTTGATTGCGTAGAAAAACAAGATAGATGTATGAAAGAATAGCAAAGAAAATGGCGAATTACCTCGTCAAACCAGGCGACAGCGTATCGCGTGTATCCTACGACGGAAATCGTGTCGAAAAAGAAAGTTACTTGCCGGAAAAAGGGGTACGTATTCTTCATGATATACTGACGACGGTATATTCAAATTTGAAACAAGTCAGTCGCAGAAGTCGCCATGTAAGTATTTAGAAATGCTAATATTGTGCGCCCTCTCCTAGTTGTCGACGAAGGAAAAAAATGGTCGGCCGATAAAAGGAGTTGGTGTTCTCCAGTTGGAGAAAACAAAAAGACAATGTATGTGTATTTAGCTACTGCGGCCGTCGTCGGTGAATGATTTTTTTTCTAGCTGGTTACGTGCATTGTCATTTGTGACATAGTACATAGTATAGATTCTGCTGAGAGAAAAATGTCTAGCACGACAATTTCCATGAAAATATTTAGAGTGAAGACACAGAGAAGCTGTGTTTCGGCGGTGGGAAAGGAACTGAAAACAAGAAGCCAGATCAGGACCAATAAGCCATTTTATCAAGAATCTTAAATATATAACAGCCAATACTCAATAACCATCATATAGAAGAGGCATTTACGGCGGTAGAAAAGGACTCTTCCAATAATTTGCGGTTATTCTTTCTTGGATTTTATCAAGAATCTCTAAATTTATCAAGAATCTCTCAAAATCATATAGAAGAACAGAAGCTACGTTATGGCGGTGGTAGGAAAGTGACTTGCCAGGTCACCTTCTTTGGATTTTATCAATCTCAATATTTAACAGGACACATTTCAATAACCATCATATAGAAGAGGCACAGAGAAGCTACGTTACGGCGGTAGGAAAGTGACTGAAGCCGAGATGCCAGGTAGGACCAATAATATTGCTGATTCTTCTTTGGATTTTTATCAAGAATCTCTAAATATATAACAGAAGCACCTTTCCCTTACAATCTCACTCAATAACCATCATATAGAAGAGGCACAGAGAAGCTACGTTATGGCGGTAGGAAAGGACTGAAGCCGAGATGCCAGGTCAGGACCAATAATATTGCTGATTCTTCTTTGGATTTTTATCAAAAGAATCTCTAAATATTAACAGGAACACATTTCCTTACAATCTCACTCAATAACCATCATATAGAAGAGGCACAAAGAAGCTACGTTACTGCGGTAGGAAAGGACTGAAGCCGAGATGCCAGGTCAGGACCAATAATATTGCTGATTCTTCTTTGGATTTTTATCAAGAATCTCTAAATATTTAACAGGGACACCTTTCCCTTACAATCTCACTCAATAACCATCATATAGAAGAGGCACAGAGAAGCTACGTTACGGCTGTAGGAAAGTGACTGAAGTCGAGATGCCAAGTCAGGACCAATAATATTGCTGATTATTCTTTGGATTTTATCAAGAATCTCTAAATATTTAACAGGAACACCTTTCCCTTACAATCTCACTCAATAACCATCATATAGAAGAGGCACAGAGAAGCTACGTTACGGCGGTAGGAAAGTGACTGAAGCCGATATGCCAGGTCAGGACCAATAATATTGCTGGTTCTTCTTTGGATTTTATCTAGAATCTATAAATATATAACAGAAACGCCTTTCCCTTACAATCTCACTCAATAACCATCATATAGAAGAGGCACAAAGAAGCTACGTTACGGCGGTAGGAAAGTGACTGATGCCGATATGCCAGGTCAGGACCAATAATATTGCTGATTCTTCTTTGGATTTTATCAAGAATCACTAAATATATAACAGGAGCATCTTTCCTTACAATCTCACTCAATAACCATCATATAGAAGAGGCACAGAGAGGCTACGTTACGGCGGTAGGAAAGTGACTGAAACCGAGATGCCAGGTCAGGACCAATAATATTGCTGGTTCTTCTTTGGATTTTATCTAGAATCTATAAATATATAACAGAAACGCCTTTCCCTTATCTCACTCAATAACCATCATATAGAAGAGGCACAAAGAAGCTACAACACCGGTAGGAAAGTTGATGCCAGGACCAATATAATTCTTCTTTGGATTTTATCAAGAATCTCTAAATATATAACAGGAGCACCTTTCCCTACAATCTCATAATAACCATCTTATAGAAGAGGCAAAAGAAGCTACGTTACGGCGGTAGGAAAGTGACTGAAGCCGAGATGCCAGATCAGGACCAATAATATTGCTAATTCTTCTTGGATTTTATCAAGAATTTCTAAATATATAAACAGGAGCACCTTTCCCTTATAATCTCCTCAATAACCATCATATAGAAGAGGCACAAAGAGAAGCTACGTTACGGCGGTAGGAAAGTGACTGAAGGACCAGGTCAGGACCAATAATATTGCTGGTTCTTCTTTTGGATTTTATCTAGAATCTATAAATATATAACAGAAACGCCTTTCCCTTACAATCTCACCAATAACCATCATATAGAAGAGGCACAAGAAGCCGTTATGGCGGTAGGAAAGTGACTGATGCCGAGATGCCAGGTCAGGACCAATAATATTGATTCTTCTTTTGATTTTATCAAGAATTTCTAAATATATAACAGGAGCACCTTTCTCTTACAATCTCACTCAATAACCATCATATAGAAGAGGCACAAAGAAGCTACGTTATGGCGGTAGGAAAGTGACTGAAGCCGAGATGCCAGGTCAGGACCAATAATATTGCTGATTCTTCTTTGAATTTTATCAAGAATCTCTAAATATATAACAGGAGAACCAAACCAGATATGGCAACAATATTAAAAGGAAAGACGAATGGTAGACTTATAAATATGTAAGATAAATTCTGGTGAGAGAAAATTGCCTTGCACGACTCTGTGAACAATATTTCTTGCCTGCAGACTTAGCAATTAATTCAATACCCTTTTTCTACTTCATATAATCTGAAAACGTTAGTCCGAGAAGGTGAATTGAGTCAATCTTTTGGAGGTTAGCATCAGCCAGGCCAATGGAAAGTAAAAAGGGTCCACTCAGATGATGAAATTGAACGTAAAATGTGATGTGAGAAGCTATCAGAAAGTTTCTAGACATTTGTGGAGATTGGCACAGAATGTTAGTTTTGACATTCAAGCTGAAAGCTCACACTTGGCGGTCGTCGTTTTGCAAGGTTTATTTTCTTTTGTAGACTAATACAAACTTGCATCCTTGTGAGACAGTGCTCTTGGCTTGCGGTAAGTTGGCTCACACACACAGACACACACACACACACACACACACACACATATATATATTTGGATATATACATATATATATATATATATATATAACCGTCATCCACAGACAGACTGTTTCGCTGTTTCACAGCTCATCAGTGTGGCTAGACATCCGGTTGCCTCCAGCTAGGGTCAAAACCCGACTGAACTGGTGTCAGTGGGAGATTCTAACCATTTAGACATCGTAGGGAGGAAAGTGGATTTTTAGCGTGTTTATCTTTTTAGCGTGTTTATCTTTATAAACACGCCCAGTGACCGGGTGTGACTCAATACGCATTAGCTATATAGCTATAATAGTCACTGTTTACCAACCCACATCTCCTCCCCAGAGAGCTCAACTGAAATTAATTTTTCAGAAACAAATAGGACACCTAAAGTAAAATGGAAAATTATAAACAGGGCTAGAACATGTAAAACTTGGGATGACCCATGCCTTTGTGCCTCCATGAAATGCACATTATTAGCTTCTAAATAATAATAATCTATTAAACAATAGACATGAGTTAACGGTTTTTATCGACATCATCAGATTTATGGTTTGAATTATTAGCTAAAACAAGCATACAATATAATAACTTGATTAATCCATGGCCCAATCATCAGATTCATGGTTTGAATAATTAGCTAAGAAGAAGCATACAATATAATAACTTTTATAATCCATAGCCCAAATAAATAGTTTAACTACCCTACAAAAAGATAGCCCTTTGTGAAGTCGTCAAAAAAAACAAACGTTACGGCAGTTTTTTTATAGGCTAAATCCTTTCATAAAAAATAAAATAAAAAAAATAAATAATTCTCCACAGACAAGCATACCAGACTAGGTGAATACATCTTCCGTTTTAAATTTAGACACCTCCACCTTTCCCTGACTTGACATCTATGAAAGTAACTCTATACTGATACTTATTATTAACACCCAACACACGCCTACCCAATTTAAACCAATTCTCCTAGCTGTTACCATGGAAATTTTGATTTCACTTATTAAAACACGTAAATTTCAGAAATACGTTATTCCAAAAAAAATTCGCTTGAAGATGGAACAGAGCTTATTTTAACTCAGTTTAATTCAAATAATTATATTGAAGTTTTCGGCTCTTGTTTTGAAACATGGGACCTCTTATGTCGCGGTGGAATCATATTTTAAATAAATATTTTATATATATATATATATATATATATATATATATATATATATATATTATTTATTTTTAAAAAAGTTTAACATAAATGTGTTATAAAATTCACTACAAAAAAAGCCAATTTTGTTTCAACACCTCCGGTGTCTTATCAAGTGATAATGTTGATAAGACATTGAAGTTAAAAAACAAATGGCTATTTTTGTAGTGATTTTATAACACATTTATATTATGATTTTTAAAATAAGTAATTATATCTGATCTACTCTGTATTGCGCACTCTTTTAAGAATAGTAATTATTGGTTATTGGAATTCATTCCGTATACACCAATTATATATATATATATATATATATATATATATATCATATATATATATATCCAAATGTAAAAGGACGAACCTCAAACCTTCTCAACCATTATTTCCTTTTCTTGGCTTTTCCCTCTTATTTCTCTTCTCTCTCACACACACTCTCTCTCTCTCTCTCTCTCTCTCTCGCTGTTACTAATCACTTGGCTTCCTATTTTTCTCCACATGTAAGTTTTTTTTTACCTTTTATGGGAAACTTTCCAATGACAGAAGTGGAAGATACGCTTCATTAACTGCATTTCAGAATAAAATATTTTAGTAGCATCGTGATTTCCCACCTGATGAAACGTTAAAAAATTTTTTTAGGTTAAAACAAGGTGCACAGCTTTGTAGTGAGTATTTCCATGTTCTAATATAATACTGCATATATATATATATATATATATATATATATATATATATATATATATATATATGTATATTTTAGGCAGAAATTTTTGATTGATGTACGTTTCATTAGATAATATAGACAAGTTTTTGTCTATTTATTTTAAGTAAATTCCTTTCATATTGTCTGATAAGTTTAATAACATTATCATTGAATGACGAAAAGAAATCACCATATTGATACATGTTTAAATCCAATCTAAGCTTTCGGCTTACATAAGCCATTATTAAAGATGACAATTGCATTTAGACGTCACGCGACTTCCTACGTATGCGGTTCCTCTATGGTCACGTGGTCTACTTAATTCAATAATGGGATCGCCTGGTGATCTATTTTCAAACTCTAGTGTCAGCAGCGACACTTTATTCCGATATATATATATATATATATATCTCACTGGAAATTTGTTATTTAAAAACAGTAATTTGGACTAACCAAACATTTCCTCTGTATCTAAGTGGTATAGCACGTCAGATCAAATGACGGTTCCGTTTAAGACGCAGGTTCGATTCCTGTCGGAGGGCACTTATTTTCTACGAAATTTCTCGGACATTCAGGCCGGTAAATGTAATTAATACTCTTTATTATAAACAGAGCATTTACTTAAATATTTGTATCTATAAAATATTCCGTATAAACAGAAAATATATTAAAAATAATTTTTTTGACTTTATTCATTTAATAATATATATATATATATATATATATGGCCACTCTATATATATATATATATATGTCCACTATATATATATATATATATATATATATATATATATATATATATATATATATATATATATATATATATATATATATATATATTAGAGCTAGTTTAGGTTTTAATTTGAATCTTTAGTTTCCCGTTTTCTAGTTAACTTAGCTAGGTATGCATGCTCATTGGCCCTTTTATTTCTGTCCCTATTTTCTTTTGTTTAATTCCGCATCCCTCCCTCGTTAAGTGGTCAGTGATGTCAGTTCTCGGGTTGTTGCGGGATGACTTTCGTTTTCGTGTGTGTGTTTTCGTATTTGTTATTGTGTCTAAATGAGTGCGTGTTTGTGGGCGTGCTTGGTTTTTTATAATGTTATAATCCCGCAATTATAATGTTTCTGCCATATTTAGGGATTGTGGGGTTTTTTTTTATTACTAACCCTATGTAAATATTATTAAATCATATTGTAAATAATCATTGGGGTTTTTAAATTGTTGTTTTATCCCCCCCCCCAGACTTCGAAATGTATATATGGGGACTAGTTAGGATTTCATAGAGAATTTGAGGTATTATGGTGGATGTAGTAAGAAAGATAGGAGTGAATGTGTTGTTTTGGTGATAGGACTATTGTTGGTATGTTTGGGTCCGTGTCTGGGACTAGCTAAGTTTAGAATTAAGACAGAAGAAGACCTTCCTTCCCCAACCCCCTTTTTGGCCTTTTGCCACATTTTGTACCAACGTACAAATAAATAATTATTCCTATACAACAACATGGGGAATTGCGGTATGTCTTTAAATAACTTTCAAAACCTTGATAAGCCGTAAAAGACAAATCAGTAAAGTACTTGGAAGCAGGAATCAATGCCAAAGCTTCACTTGATTCAAAATAATTACAAAATGTCGCGGAAAAAGGAAAGTCCACATCAGGCAGTCAATTTTTACGACAAATGAATTAAGGAGTGAGTCTGTTCAGAATTTTTATCGATAGTTTTTTGTCGATAAAAACAGAAATTAATTATTATTATTATTATTATTATTATTATTGTTGTTGTTGTTGTTGTTGTTGTTGTTGAATATGGATTTTATACAAAAGATATGTTGAATTATCTGAAATCTTCACTTTTTTGTTCTCGTGTCTGAGTCATGAGGTTTAATTTTACTCAGACCAACTCTCTCTCCATTTTCTCTCTCTGGTCCCCCTTTGACAACTCTCTCGCTCTCCTTCAGAGAGTCGCTCTCTCTTTCCCTTTCTCTCAGCAGTCTCTTTTTCTCTCCTTTTCTCTCTCCCTTTCTCTCTCCCTTTCTCCCTCTTTCTCGCTCTCTAAACCTTTCTCTCTCTCTAGTCTCTCTTCTTTCTCTCTCTCTCTCTCTCTCTCCCTTTCTCTCAACAAGGAGTCTCTCTCCCTTTCCCTCTCTATATCTCTCTCCTTTCTCCCCTCTCTCTCTTTAAACATTCTCTCTCTCTCTCACTCTCTCGCCATTCATTCTCTTGCTCTCTCCCCTTTCTCTCTTTTTTGATCTCCTCCCTTTCTCTCTCTCTCACTCTCTTTCCCTTTCTCTCTCTCTCTCCCTTTCTCTCTTTCCCTTTCTCTCTCTCGCTCTCTCTCCCTCTATCTCCCTTTCTCTCTCTTGCTCTCTCTCCCTTTCTCTCTCTCCCTCTCTCTTTCCCTTTCTCTCTCTCGCTCTCTTTTTCTCTCTCTCTCCCTTTCTCCCTCTCTCTCGCTCTCTCTTTCCCTTTCTCTCTCTCTCCCATTCTCTCTCTCCTTTCCTCTCTCTCCCTTTCTCTCTCCCTTTCTCCCTCTCTCTCTCTCTCCCTTTCTCTCTCTCGCTATCCACAGCTGTGTGTTAATTAGTAGGCTTTGTATCAATCAATCAATATTATCTCAAATTTTTTTTTAAATGTAAAAATATTTTATGGCTTTAAATAACCTGCGAAAAGTTGAAAAGCCGAAAGTAAAAGGTGACAATTTATGAGTCATCAGAATTATACATGAAAGTATTCGAAATCAGGAATCAATACCAAAATTTCACGTTAGTCAAAATAATTACAAAATTTTGCGAAAAAGAGGAATGTCCACATCAGGCAGTTACTCTTTAGTATTTATAATAAATGAATTTAAGGGAAAGCCTGTTCAGAATTTAAAGAAAAATGTATCTGTTCAAAAGATGCATTATTATTATTATTATATTTCCTTTGATTTCTGGCGTGTACACATTTCTTTCCGGATCCCGCGCAGAGACTTTAGGTTAGAAATGGCATCATGACATTTTCTACTGACCCCAACCTTAAAAAAAAAGTTTACAAATGAAGCCCTTCGTATGGTGTGGGCTGTACTCGTGAGAACAATTTTATATATTTTGTTTAAGGCATGGACTTCCAGGAATCCCTTCAATGAATCTACTGGAATCGTTTCCAACCAATCCGAGGGCTCCAACTACAACAGAGATTGTTGATTTTCCCATGTGCCACATTTTTGAGATTTCGATTTCATTATTATTATTATTATTATTATTATTATTATTGTTGTTGTTGTTGTTGTTAATATTATTTAATATAGATTTTCTGTGACAATTATACTGAAATATCCGAAATCCTCATTTTCTTTTTCATTACCTTCCGAGTCATTAGGTTTAAATCTACTCAGAGCAACTGAGAGCATTTCAAATGCATTTTATAGCAAAATCATTTCAAATGCATTTTATAGCAAAATCATTTCCCATGCATTTTATAGTAAAAATCATCTCCAGTGCATTGTAAGTAAAAGTCATTTCCAATACATTTTCATAACAAAATCATTTCCGTGTCATTTCACAGTGAAAATTATTTGCAGTGCATTATGATAGCAAAAATCATTGCCAACACTTTTTATAGTAAAATCATTTCCGGTGCATTTTCATAGTAAAAATCATTTGCAATGGTAAAAATAATGTATGAGATATAAAATCTCATCAAAGATGATAATGTACGAGGCAAAGAGACAACCTACAGAAAAGAATATACTAGTAAATGAGTATTGGGGCACTTCGATATAGTGTAATGGTTAACAAGCTTATCTTGCTAGATCAGTTACGACTAAGTAGTGAGTTCGATCCAAAATTCAGCTACCCACATTTGCCCTGTTGATAAAGCTGGCGCATCATCCCCTAAAGTGACAAACATGTCGATAAACATTTCTTCTGCAGGTACTTGAAAACGCAGCGATGCCAAATTTGGTTCATTTTCAAGAGAAGCCGCTACTTTTGATGAAGTTTTCTTTGAAAAGTGAGATGTCAGTTTACCTGTGAAGAATCAATGCTGTTACGTACGATTTCACAGATCGAGTATCACTCCTTCATTGACAGTCCGTGACTTTTTCAGCCGGCCCTCCTACGTGGAAAGAAACAATTCAGGTATCAATAAGAAGAGCTGAAATTAATGCATGCAAGATTTTACAGCTCGAGTATCACGCCTTCATAGTCAGCCTATGATGACATTTCAGCCCATCCTTGTACAATCTGAAAGAGACAGTTGGAATTTTGGGGGCACGTCATAAGGAAAGAGGATCTGGAGAATCTAACACTCACAAGATATATCGAATGATACGGTGAAAAATAACTTACAAATAGGTTTGTGCGAGTGGATTACAGAGCGGAACAAAAAGGCGTGGTAGAGAGTCAAAGGTTGCGTAGAGCTGCAAGGGACAGGAAGTAGTGGAGAGACATGATCGTCTACATTTTGAAGTAGCCTACCTAATTAATTTGTGTAGATAGATGGCAGAGCGGGAACGAGTGAAGCTTGTAAAGAGTCAAATATTGCTTAGAATAGACAGGAAGTGGTGGAGAGTCGTGATCGCGCAATTCTTGAAGTAGCCTAATTTGCATGAATTGATAGCAGAACTGGAACAGGAGGGGGCAGCAAAGAGTCAAATGTTGCTTAGAATAGACAGGAAGTGGTGGAGAGTCATGATCGCGCAATTCTTGAAGTAGCCTAATTTGTATGAATTGATAGCAGAGCTGAAACAAGAGGGGACAGGAAAGAGTCAAATGATGATTAGAGCTGCAATGGAAAGGAAGTGGTAAAGAGCCGTGACCGCCTACAACATGAAGTATTCTCCCTAACTAATTTGTGTAAATGAATGGCAGAGCAGGATAAAAGAGGGATAGGAAAGATTCAAAGGTTCTTTAGAGCTGCAAGGGACAGGAAGTTGGGGAGAGTCATGAACGCCCACATCATGAAGTATCCTACTTCAATAATTTGTGTGAATTGATGTCAGAGCGGGATCAAAAATAGTATAGTAAAGAGTTAAATGTTATTTAGAGCTGCTAGTGACAGGAAATAGTGGAGAACCGTGATCGCCTGTATCATCAAGTATCCTATCTAATGTGGGTGAATGGATTGCATAGCGGTAACAAAAAGAGATAAAGTGTCAAATGTTACTTAGAGCTGGAAGGGACAGGAAGTAGTGGAGAGCCGTGACTGGCCACATCTTGAAGTAGCGCACCTAATTAATTTGATGGCAGAGCGAGAAGAAAGAGCGATAGGAAAGAGTGAAATGTGGTTTAGAACTGTAAGGGACAGGAAGTGGTGGAGAGCCATGATTGACCATGTCTTGAAGTCACCTACATCATTTATGTAAATGGATGGCAGAGCGGAAAGAAAAAGTTATGGTAAAGAGTCAAATGTTGTTTTGAGTTGTGAGGGGAAGGAAGTGGTGGAGAGCCATGATCGCCTACACCTAGAAATAGCCTACGTAACTAATTTGTGTGAATGGATGGCAGAGAGGGAATAAAAAGTAATGATAAGATTCAAATGTTGCAAGGGACAGGAAGTGGTGGAGAGCCATGATCGACCATGTCTTGAAGTCACCAACATCATTTATGTAAATGGATGGCAGAGAAAGAAAAAGAAAGTTTGTTTGAAAAAGTTATGGTAAAGAGTGAAATGTTGTTTTTTGAGTTGTGAGGGGTGGATGGCATAGCAGAAGAGGTTGTGAAGAGCCATGATCGACCATGTCTTGAAGTCACCTACATCATTTATGTGAATGGATGGCAGAGCGGAAAGAGTCAAATGTTGTTTTGAGTTGTGAGGGGAAGGAAGTGGTGGAGAGCCATGATCGACCATGTCTTGAAGTCACCTACATCATTTATGTGAATGGATGGCAGAGCGGAAAGAGTCAAATGGTTTTTGAAAGTCTTAGAAGTGGTTTTGAGTTGGATGGCCATGAGCCATGTCTTGAATGTTGTTTTGAGTTGTAGGGGAAGAGTTGGAGAGCCATGATCGACCATGTCTGAAGTCACCAACATCATTTATGTAAATGGATGGCAGAGCGGAAGAAAAAGTTATGGTAAAGAGTGAAAATGTTGTTTTGAGTTGGGAAGAGCCATGATCGACCATGTCTTGAAGTCACCTACATCATTTCTGTGAATGGATGGCAGAGCGGAAAGAGTCAAATGTTGTTTTGAGTTGTGAGGGGAAGGAAGTGGTGGAGAGCCACATCATCGCCTGTACACAGAGCGGAAAGAAAAAGTTATGAAAAGTAGTTGTTTTTTTTGACGTAACTAATTTATGTATATCGATGGCAGAGCCGGAACAAAGGGGAATATGAAGAGTCAAATATTGCAAGGAACCGGAAGTGGTGGAGAACCGTGTTCGCAAACATCCTGACCGGGGATATGAAGCATCAAATATATGTGTTATTGTTGTTTAGACGACGCCAGCTGTAGCATCCTACCGTAGGTCGACAGGAGCATAATCGAAATTGCCCCAGTAGGGAAGATGCCAAAAAGTCCAGGCCTCTTATGTAGGCTTTGATGTTATGAATCGCCGCCCGCTTCGTTCAATATTTATTCTAATCTCGAGATACCACCACGGTAGAATCAAAGAATAATAAAAATCACAGACAGGGCCAAATATATGTCGAGTCTACGTATTTATTTTTTCCCCACTTACATTTCTTTTTTTTTTTTTTTCTTTGAGGAGGCGGAGGGAGTTTTTGTGCGTGTTCTTTATGGATGTCGTGCATGGCGTCAAACCCGTCTAGAAATATCGAAACTCTGAGCAATGTACAACGGCTTCCTCAGATCATTGGTTAAAAATGGCTTTGAGCGAATGAAGACGGCGTGTCTTGGCGAAGGCTTACCAACTGGCGCTGCAAAATCACAAACAAAGAACGGTATCACACATGATCGCTTGAGGACTTCCAACAGCAGCAACACCTAACATGTAACTCGAAGATGAAACAATGACTTTAAACCGGATGTTGACAATAATCTACATCCGGCGGCAAGGCCTTTGATCGGGAGATTGGAGGTTTTGAGAAGCGTAAAACCACTACATATATATATATATATATATATATATGTGTGTGTGTGTGTGTGTGTGTGTGTGTATATATACAGTGTAACCCGTATATAAGAGAGTTGTCGGAACCGGAGAAAAAGTCTCTTATATCCGGGTTTCTCTTATATCCGAGTTTCTCTTATATCCGGGTTTCTCTTATATCCGGGTTTGGTCTATTTTATATACATTAACACAGGCTCTAATTTGGGACCAGAGAAAACCTCTCTTATATCCAGGTTTCTCTTATATCCGGGTCTTTTATATCCGGGTTACACTATATATATATATATATATATATATATATATATATATATATATTTACATGAATCATTCATACAAAAACAAATATAGAGGTTAATGATTTAAATGGCGAGAATACATCATCGCGAACACTATCAATAAGATACACTAAACCCGAACCATTTCTCGCCATTTAAATCATTAACCGCTATATTTGTTTTTTGTATGAATGATTCATATGAATAATTATATATATATATATATATATATATATATATATATATATATATATAT